AGCTCCCTCATGCTCCCTCCTGCCCTTGGGACTCTGAGCACAGCCTGGCTTTGCAGAAAGATGCCCACATGCTCTGGAGGTGCCTTTCTCCAGATCCCAGCAGCTCCGGATTCTTTCAGCCCTGCTCTCCAAGGCCTGCACTGTGTCAAGTCCTGGCTGCCAGCAGATGCTGGTGGGCAGGCTTCAACCCAGGCCACAGCTGCCCCATGCCCACTAGCTGCCTGCTGTACCGGGGCGGCTGTCCCTCCCCCTCCTCCTGCCACCATGCACGAGGAACGTCTCCCTGTGGTGACGAATCCAGCTGAATCCAGGCGCAGGCTGCGATGCAGTCAGTCACCAAGGGAGATTGTACCACGTGCATCCCCGCAGCCACGGGGAACGGGGATCAGGGCTTCCCTGCTAGGTCCCCCTCAGCTCCCCATGCTTGGCCATGCTCTCCAGAGGCTCTGGCAGTGCCTGCCTGGGATGGCGAGCAACCCTGGGACATGACCTTGTGCAGATCCACTTGCAAAGGGGTGCCCAGCTGCCCCCAAGGAGGGGGGCATGGTGTTCCCTGGCAGGGAGGCAGGCACGGAACCCTTGGGTGCAGCAGAGGAGAGGGGAGCTGCAGCCAACAGAGCCCAGAGCAGGACTGATGCTGTGGATGTCTCCCAACTGATTTGTGAGCCTGTGGCCCCAGGGCCATGCCCTAGAGGTGACAGGCTGCTCTGGGAGCAGTCCAGTCATGCCCTGGCCTGGCTCTGCCCTCCTACCGCTGATCATTAACCACCCTTTTGGGTGGTGAGTTCAAGGACCCACTCAGGGACTGTTGTCCCCAGGTTAATCAGAGCTGGGGACATGCTGGAAGCGTAGAACATGGACCTGCTGACAGCTGCTGCAATGGTCCTGCATCTCAGCACAGACCTGTGCTTGACTGTTTTCCTTGTCCCTGCTGTCCTCTCTTGGTCTTCCTTCCCCAAAAGACCCACCAGGCTCCCTGTGCATCTCTGGGACGGGTGAGGGACATGCCAGTCTGTGCTGGGAGTCTGTGCCTGGTGTGCTTAGTGCTGGCAGAGGTAATGAGCCTGGAGACACCAGCCCAGGCCATCTGCAGAGCACTTCAAGGACGGTGCCAGCTTGGAGAGTCAGGAGCAGGTGCTTGGGCTCAGCTGATGCTGGGGGGTCCATGGGATGGGTGCAGAGGGTGCTAGGCACGTGCAGAGCAGCATTGGAGCAGGGAGGGTCTGCCCCAGCCCCTGTCCCATTCACCCTGCTATGGTTTGTGCACTGCAGGTGATGTCCCGACGTCTTTATGGCCCTATCTGGAAGTCGACCTTCGGGCATTATAGGAACATCAACATTGGGAGCCCAGTGGTGCTGGAGCAGCTGCTACGGCAGGAGGGCAAGTATCCCATGCGGAGTGACATGGCCCTGTGGAAGGAGCACCGGGACACCCGGAGCCTGCCCTACGGACCCTTCACTGAGTGAGTCCTGTCCTGACTGTCCTCTGTGGAACAGCACACATCTTCTGTCCCTTCCTAAGGTGCCTAGGTGGCAGCTTGCGTTGCTCCCTCTCCTGCAAGCTGCATGTCCCCACCAAGGAGAAGGGCATGGCCATGGCCATGGTGGGTGGAAAGACCCCTGGGGTGGTTCCAGGCTGGAGTTGGGAGTGTTGGGACACTGCTGCCAGCCACTGCCCCCTGCCCATCCATGCACCCGGTGCTGAGCCTTGCCCCCATCCAGGGAAGGGGAGCGCTGGTACCGCCTGCGCCAGGTCCTCAACAAACGGCTGCTGAAGCCCTCGGAGGCAGTGCTGTACGCGGATGCCATCGGGGAGGTGGTGTCAGACCTGATGGTGCGGCTGCGGGAGGAGCGGAGCCGCAGCCCCTCAGGGGTGCTGGTGGGGGACGTGGCTAACCTGCTCTACCGCTTTGCCCTCGAAGGTAGGGGGTTCTTCCCTCTCACCCCTGCCCTGCCCCATTCTTCCCATCCCCCCGGAGGTCTGGATGCTGTCCGTCCCCTACAGGGATCTCCTATATCCTCTTCGAGACCCGCATTGGGTGCCTGAAGCAGCAGGTCCCTGCCGAGACCCAGCGCTTCATTGACTCCATCAACCTCATGTTCAAGAACTCCATCTTCGCCACCGTCCTGCCCCGATGGAGCCGCAAGGTACTGCCTTTCTGGGACCGCTACTTGAACAGCTGGGACACCATCTTCGCCTTCGGTGAGCAGTGATGATGGAGACCCAGCATGGTGGGATTGGACTCCCTAAGGACACTCAAAAGTGGAGCAGTCCCTGGCCCCATGTCCTTTTGGCAGCCCTTGCTCTGTCAGCACTGGGTCCCACTCTCTGTTCCTGCAGGCAAGACCCTGATTGACCGAAAGATGAAGGAGCTGGAGGGGCAGGTAGAGCGCGGCAAGGAGGTGTCTGGCTACCTGAGCTACCTGCTGGCCAGCGGCAGACTCAGCCTGGATGAGGTCTATGGCAGTGTGGCTGAGCTGCTGCTGGCTGGTGTGGACACGGTGAGAGCTGCTGCCAGGAGATCCCTGCTGAGCTTCCATGCCCAGGGGAACCCATAGGGCCATGCTCAGCCCAGCCCCTACAAGCTCTGGCCTGATGGCTAGGAGGCTGATGCTCCCCAGGGGCAAACCCTCAGGGATCAGTCAGGACAGATACTGTCCTCTGCTCTGCTCCCTGACATGCTCCCCATCTCACTTTCCTCTGTGCCTGCTGCCCCTCACCCCTGACTTTCCTGCACACCAGAGCAGGGGTTCTCTGGTGCCATACTGGAGCTGTGCTTGGTACAAGGCTGCTCAGGTACCAGCCCCAGTTCTCTCACTGCCCTTGATTCTCCACTCCCCCAGACCTCCAACACGCTGTCCTGGGCCTTGTACCACCTCTCCCGGGACCCAGGCATCCAGGAGACCCTGTACCAGGAGCTGAAAGCTGTTGTGCCTGCCAACCGGTTTCCTGCTGCTGAGGATATCCCCAAGTTGCCAATGCTTCGGGCCATTATCAAGGAGACACTGAGGTAAAGCCCAAGGTCCTGGTCATCAGCCCCTTCTCCAGGGGGGAATGCACCAAGGAGGCAGTATGGGAGGCTGGATTTCAGTCCCTCAGGACCACATATATCCACCTTCTCCCTAGGGAGCTGCTGAGAAGTAGGGGGTGCTTCCCCTTGTCCTGTCTGCAGCTCTCTCCCTCTGGGATCTCCAGATGGGTCCTGCTCCACCATTAATTCTTCCCATATCCCAGGGTCTACCCCGTGGTGCCCACCAACGCCAGGGTCTTCTATGAGAAGGACATTGTCATCGGAGACTACCTCTTCCCCAAGAATGTGAGTGGGGGCTGTGGCGTGGGGACCTCCACTGCCCTCAGTGGGGCTGGGTCGGGTCATTAACCCCCGCTTACTGCCCTGCAGACCCTCTTTGTCCTGGCACACTACGCGATGTCCCACGATGAGACCTACTTCCCTGAGCCTGAGCGGTTCCTGCCCCAGCGCTGGCTCCGGGGATATGGCTCCCCCCACCACCCCTTCAGCTCCATCCCCTTTGGCTACGGGGTTCGCGCCTGCGTCGGACGCCGCATTGCCGAGCTGGAGATGCACCTGGCCCTCGCCAGGGTGAGTAAGGACCGCCACTCTGGGTATCTTGCCATGAGCTGGGATGGGGGCCCCAGGGAGTCTCCAAGGCACTGCCACCCCCCTTCTTCCGACAGATCATCCAGGCATTCGAGGTGCGGCCAGACCCCCGTGGTGTGGAGGTGACATCTGTGTCCCGCATTGTCCTTGTGGCCGACAAGCCCATCAACCTGGAGTTCATTGCTCGTCCAGAAGCCCCCTGACTGCGCGTCCACCCCTGACCCTGGGTGCCAAATGGAGAACCCCCACTGCCCCACAGGGAGGGGCAGGCAGGAAGGCAAAACCATCCTCTGCCCAGCTTGGGTCGGGGGCTCCTAGCCCCACTGTGGGGAAGAGGGGGAGGATAAGAGATTGCCCCCAAATTGCCCCTGGGGCACTAGTAGCCCCCTATCCCAAATCAGCGGGAGGCTTGGGGAACTGCCGTGCCTTTCACACACTTCAGGGGGTTGTGTCCCCCCCATCCCGTGCCCAGCTGGGCTACGTTGGGGACCTGGGAACTCTGTCAGGGCAGGGGGAAGCAGGGAGGGGTTTTGCAGCCGTTCGGTGTCTCCTTCATCCTGTCCTTGTGTAGCCGCGCGTGGATCTGTGCCTGGAGCCAGGACATCTGGGTCTTTTCTGAACAGCTGACCTTGGCCTCAGAAGCTTCTCTGTTCCTCAGTTTGACCCATGCCTCCCAGGGGAGGGTTGAGCATTGGCCGGGTTTGGGGTTTGCACCTCTCCCAAGGGGCAGAGCTGGGAAAGTGAAGCAATAACACAACTCATCCCCAGCGATGGGAAGAGGCCTGTCACCACCCAGCACTGGTGTCATGTCCCCTGGCAGAGCCAGCCAACACAGGAGGGGTGTTTAGCACCCAGGACCTTCCACTATCAGCCGCTGTTCACTGAGATGCTGATATGGGGTCACAGGAATGGCAGGGCTTGCTCCAGACAAAGCAGGCAGAGAAAGATCAGCTCAGCACCCCCCATTCCCAAGTGGGGACATGGGGCTGATATCCAGGGCAATCACAGGGGCTCAGACCTGGTAGCAGCCACAGGCAAGGGGTGCATTGCCTCTTACCCAGGGTCCTGGGGCATGGGACACCCTAACAGTGAACCACTCTCACCTTCCTACTTTTTGGACTGAGGGAAGCAGCAGGCAGAAACCTTGCTGGCACCAAGGCTGCTGTGCCCCCTGAAGGGCCCTCACACTACCACTGTAATCAAGGCTGCATGTTCTGTTTCCCTGTCACCTTGGCTCTACCCCCCTATGCCCATGCCACCCTTGCTGGCATTCCAGGCTGGGTTCCCCAGCCCTGCCAAGCAGCCAGTACCCCCTTCCGAGTCCTGCTCTCTCCATGGGAGCTATGCCCAGCTTTATCCTAGAAAGGCAAGAGGCAGTTCTTGGATCAGACTCTTTGTTACAACGAGGCTGAACAGACCAATAAATAAATAAATATACCCTGCCCACCCCAAAACGTGCACAGGGTCCCCATGCAAGTGCCCATCCTGGTGCCAGCTCTGGCACAGGCTGTGCCTCTGCCAGGGAGCTCAAGCCCCATGTGACCTTACAAAAGCAAGCCTGTGTGTGCAGCTCAGCCTATGCTACCAGGCACCGGGCACAGATGGTGGGAGGGAGCAACAGTGGAAACGCTCAAATCCAGCAGCAGGATGGGAGTGGGGTGACCAGGTCTTCTGGGGCTGTGTGGGTCTCTGTGCCCAGCCACAGGCATGTAATGGCTCCTCCAGCACAGTGCCCATCAAGCATCACTGTGTGCTCACTGGCAGGAGGCACCCCTGGGCCCCCTTTTCCACACTTTCTGCCTCCCCAAGGCTGGCAGGATCTGGCCCTGGACTCAAGACGAGCCCCAGGACTGGGGTGAACAGGCAGATCCTCCCTGCAGAGAGCCTTCAGGCCAAAGCCTCCTTCTCACAGGCCATGCAAGAGACTCCCGAGTCAGACAAGACAGTGGCACTTCCTGGTGTCTTCAGAGTGAGGATCGATGGAAGCCTGCAGGGCAAGAGAGCATGCGAGGCCATAACCCCAAAACAGTGCTGGACTGGGCACCCTGTGGCATTGCCCTCCCAACCCATCCTGGTGGACACTGGGGTCTCGCCTCCATTCCTGGCTTGAATGCAATCTCTGTGACAGGAGGGAGGGCAGCTGGCCTGGAGAGGGCCCCCTGCAGCTCCTGATCCAGCCACCCCTGTGGTCACCAGGGATGGGGTAAGTGAAAGCACCTTGACTGGGAAATGGGGAGAGGAGGGTTGTGTGTGTGACTAACACACACCACTCCCAGTCCCCTCCTGTCCAGAGCAGCTGAGCACTGCTGGGGGAACTGGTGGACACAGGCCTGTCCCAAGTCCATTCTCCACCACTACCCCAAAAAAAAGCATCGTTACCTTTGGAAAGCAGCTGGGACCCAGGGCCAGCTTCCCCCTCCCCATTTCAGCCCTAAAGAGCTGCCACAGTGGGTGCAAGCACAGTGCCCACCTATCACCAGTGAGGACTTGCCAGGCAGTGGGTGAGCAGAGCCAGCTGCAGGCAGTTGGGCAGCATGGTCCCAGTGCTACCTGAGAGTGAACCTGTCCCTGGAGCAGGCAGTTTTGGGGCTGCTGCAGGTGGAGGGGTTGGGGGCCTCTGCCAGCCGGGGCCCATGGGTCAGCTGTGGTGCGCACATGGCTAGTCAATAGCAGCACGTCATGAGGGTGCAAGTGGAGATCTGTCCCTTCTGTGTCCCCCGGGAATGGCACTGGAGGTGCTCAGATCGCAGGGTTTGAGGCGAGATTAAAAATAGACTTTTATCTTAGGGTGCATCACACCCCAAAACCCTCATCCAGCCCAAAGCCCAGAGACCTGCAAAACCTGCCTTCCACACACTGCTTGAATGGGAGTTTAGGGGGGCTGTCTTCATGGCAAATGTCCTCATCCTTCCTCACAGACACCAGGGATCCCTGTGATTCTTGTGTACCCCAGGACAAGCAGCATCTGGGTCCTGCTGTCCCCACCTGTGCGCCCAGCACTTCCAGACCCCAGCCCCAGTCTCCTTCATCCCCCAGGGCCGGTTTGGCTGGGGTGGAGGCAGGTGGTCTGAGCAGGGAGGTGGCCAGGTGCAGGTGACCCAGTGTCAGGGAGGGAACAGGCCCACAGTGACAGGGGACAGCACCTACCTGAAGTGGAGAGAAATGGAGAGTGCAAGTGGAGAAAGATGGAGCGCCGTGGCCTAAGAGTTAAGAGCATCGATACCTGCAGGAGTGAGCACAAGGGCCTGGAGGACGTCAGAGAGGGAGACAATGCCCCGCGGGTACCGGTTCTCATCTACCAGAACCAGGCGATGGACCTGTGGGTGCAGGCAGAGCATCACGGGCAGGCTGGGCAGCTGGCAGCTGTGGCTGGTGCTGGCACAAGGCACCCCAGCCACTCACCTGCTCCTTGGCAAGGCGGTCAATGATGTCCTCCATGTGCTCATGGGGGTAGCAGGTGATGACCTCCTCCAGGCAGATACTGCGCTGCCGCAGTGCCTCTCGCACACTGATGTCCAGGTTGTTGTAGGTCTTCTGAGCTGCCAGGTGCTGTGGGAGGTGTGACCCCAATGTGTCCTCACACCCCGTTGTGCCAATGCAGAGGGGACACTGAGTGCTGGGGATGCACAGAGCAGATGTGCACTGGCGTGTGCAGGACACTGCATTTGGGGTGGGTTTACACGGGCACAGATAAATGTGAACACCCCCTACCAGCGCATGCAAGGGGCCACATTTTTGTCCAGGTGTGCAAACACACAGGGTACTCACAATGACATCAAACCGGGAGTACAAGCCAACCACTTGCCCTGCAAAGAGAAATAGTGCAGTAGCTGGGGAGGGGGCCTTGGGGATCATTTGCCATGTTCCTTGCACACCCCAAGGGGCAGCCCAAGGGCCAGGAGAGGGCTTTTGGATGGGGATGGGGATGGAGCTGCTGACAGAGGGAAATGAGGGGGTCACTTTCCTCCTCCCCAGGTACCGGCATCATTGATGACGGGCAAGGCAGAGACACGGCGATCCACGAAGATCTCCAAGGCAGTGTAGATCGGGGCAGTCTCAGGCACAACAGCCAGGTCACGAAAGGTGCCAATGCGCAGCTCCTGCACTGTTTTTTTCAGGAAGCGTGGCTTGGGAATGGTAGAGCCCTGCAATGGGTCAGGGCAGGGCTTGGCTGGCATCTACACACATTTTGACACCTTTGTTTGTGCCCCTAGACACCTGCCCTGTGTGTGCACACAGCCCCGGCACTCACAAAGATGTGGAGAAACTTGAGGATGCGCTTGTGCGTCAGGATGTGCAGGACATTGCCCGAGACAGGCTCGATGACAGGCAGGCGGTGGATTTTATGCTTGATCAGGGAGTAGACAGCATCAAAGAGGCTGTGGGTGATGGGGACATCGTGGTGGGATAGGGCTGCAACACAGGCACACACACCCTCACCCCAAGGGGTGTACTCACCCCCAGTGGACAGGCTCTCACCTATTGCTTGGGGAGAGGTAGACCAATGGCTTGAAGGAGCCCTGCAGGTACACCTCTGCCAAGGGAGAGAGGTGGAAGAGGGGGTCCTCCAGCCCTCTCATGCAGCCCCACAACCCCAGAGCTCACCTCCATGCCCTGTGCAACATCCCCAGCCCAGCCACCCCTATCACCCATGATTTTTACCTCTCCATGTCTCAATCTTGTGCTCCTCCACCTCGTAGATTTGAACCTGAGGGCAGGGAAATGCTCTGTTCATGGAGGCTCCATGGGGGACTGAGGGCACTGTGAGACACTGCCCCCTTCCCCAGGCATCCCACCCCATCACCCTAAAAACAGGAATTACATTTTCAGTGCCAGGCAGAGGGGCAAGAAGCAGATGCTGCCCTGGCCCAGAATCATCCCCTGGTCACAGTCTAGTGATGAAGAGGAGACAAGGAGAGGTGGGGACAGCCCCTCCCTGGCCCATGTATGCCCCAATCCCCCATGCCCTCCCCACCGCACTCACCAGGGGTGAGCGGTAGTAACGGTGTAGGATGTTGATGAAGTCGGTGATGGTGAGCATCCCTGTGGAGACACGTGGGGCTGGCAGCACTGCCTGCACCCTAACTGCCAGGCCAGGGAGGGGGCCAGGCAGCACTGCTGGCACTCACCCACAAAGCTCTGTGTCTTGCTATCCCAGAGTGGGGCAGCACGCACCCCATTGGCCACCAGTGCCACAAAGGCTTTCTTGATCTGCTGACAGAGTGGAAGGGGATCAGGGGGTCCCGAGCCTGCTCCTCCTCTACCCATCCCCACTGATCCCCCGCTTTGCCACCTCCAGGGAGATGTCGAAGACGACAAGCTTGCAGCTGGTGGGGATGGCATCATAGCAGCAGTGGCTCCGTAAGAAGTGCATGTAGACCTCGGCGTCAGGGCTCTGAAACTCACTTTCTGGGCCCAGCCCCAGTATCTCATTTCCCAGTGTGAAGGTGACAGATCTCCTTTGCCTGTATTCTTCCTCCTCCTCTTCCTCCTCCCTGGGGCATAGGGCCTCCGGGAACTCTGCAGGAAAAGCCATCCCAGCCCCAGCCAGTGAGCTGAGATGCTGGGTCTCAGCAACTTCCTGCCTGGGGGGAGCAGGGGATGCTCCCAACAGAGTCTCCCTGTTCCCTACTCCACAGGGGCAGCACAACAGCACTGCAGTTCTCCAGCCTGGGGTGCACTTCAGCTGAGGAGTGGGGTTGACGAGGGGTATGGGCAGGGTGGGCAGAGGACTGATGTACTCATCACACGAGTAAGGTAGTTCCCCCCTCCTACACACCTAGGCTCTACCTGCTACCCACCTTCCTCCTCACAGCAGGAAGCAGCATCCAGCAGCGCCACCTGAGAGGGCACACAGCAAGGAGGGGTCAGCAGGAGTCCAGCCTTTCCCCCACCCATGGATGCTGCTTGCATCCACCCGGTTACTCCGGCCCACCCAAGCCGGACAGAGAGGACTGTCCTTTCAGGGTGGGGATGTGGGCGGGGCCTAGCCCCCAGTCCCCTCTGGGCAGCCCCCTGCCAGTGCAGGATCCCCAGAGCCTGCAGTCTGCCTGGTGGCTCCAGCCCAGGGCACCCAGCTTGTTTCCCTGCTCTGGGGGGTCAGTGGGGGTCTCCAGAGAAGGGCAGGACAGGGCATGAATGGCAGGACCTCCCGCCTTCTCTCTCTGCTGTTAGAGCCCAGCAGGTCCCACAGTGGCTCTGAGCCCATCTCTCCCAGCCTCAAGGTGTAAATCCTGGTCTTGCTTCTTCCCGTGCCGGGAGCCTCGCCAGCCCCACCGGCTTCCCCCAGGGACCAGGTCGTCCCAGGAGACCTACAATAATGAGGGGGCAGCCCCAGAAGGGAGGTCACAGGGCCGGATGGCTGACCCCGTGCTCCCCAGTCCCCATGAGACTCTACCATAACACAGCAGCACGTGCAGAGGGAAGAGCAACCCCGGCCACAAACGTACCTGACAGAGCTAATGTCTACAGGCCACCCTAAAATAACGAAGGCACAGGAACAGGGACTGCTCCCTAAGGAGCCCAGAGCCAGCCCCGGGAAGGAGACCCTGCATACACGTCCCCCAACCCTTCCCAAGGGGCTGGGGACAGCTGGGACAAGGGCGTCCTTGTCCCCATGGCTCCATGTCTGTGGGAAGGGGCCCGCCAGCCCCCCATACTCCCCCACCTCGGGGATGGCCTGTCCCCGAGCGAGGGGCTATCGAGCCGGGCCCCCCACCCGGCCCGGCGGTACCTGGGACACAGCGGGGCCGCGGAGCCGCTCCATGCTGACTATCTGCGGGGCAGCGCTGCTATTCTGGGCCCGCGGCTGGCGTGGCCCCGGCAGATAGGGTGTCAGCGAGCAATGCCAGCCGTGCCCCCGCCACCGCCGCGGGGGGGGACACCGCCGACACGGCCACGCAGCGCCTGCAGCCCAGGGCTGGAGGGGGGGGCCGCGGCTCCGAGGAGAGCGTTGGCCCTGGGGATCCGAGGGAAGGGGTGATGGAGGGGTGGCTGGGGGCAGAGAGCGAGATGACACCCCGCTCCGCGGACCCCCGTTCTCCAGGAGCGGTGCTCAGCGCCCTGCTCGCCGGGTGGTGCCCCCGCCCCATCGCGGGTGGGGAACACGTTGTGTTCCACTCCCGGAGGTGTTGAAGAAGGGCTGGGTCCAGTCACGGGCTGAGAGGCGGCCAGAGCGGCTGCGGATCCCTCGCCCTCGACGCTGGCCAGCCCTGCCTGCCCCTGCCAGCCCCTGCCCAGGGTCCTGCTGCGGCTCACTGTGCACAGCCACCCCGGCCCCACGGCGGGGGCAGCCTGACCTGCTGGGGAACTTCCTTGCCGCCTGCCCGCCCTCCGCCCTCTCTCGGCTCCATTTCTATTTCAGGGAGGTTCAAATAACACCTTGGCCAGCTGTCGGGCCGGCCCGGCGGAGCCGTGGGCGAGCGGGCTGGTGGCTGCCGGGTCAATGGGACAGGGCTCTGCCTGGCTCCAGGGGACAGCTGGAGACACTGGCCCGTGGCGGGGTGGAAGGAATCCCCTGGTGCTGCCTTACGGCAGGCGGGAAGAGGAGGGACGAGGCCGAGAGCTCGGTACTGGGGTGACAGGAGGACACAGCCGGGTGGCCCGTGCCCCGCAGCGGTGCAGAGAGCGATGGGGGCGGGCCGCTACAGCTGTGCCGTGCAGAGCAGCCTGGCTCCAGCCTGGCCATCGCGGGTGCTGGCAGCAGGGAAGGGAGCAGGCATCTCCACTTTCGGAGGCTATTTTCAGGTGCTGGAGAGAAGCCGAGGAGAGATGAGATTGTCACCAAGGAGACCGGAGAAACAGGGCCCAGTGCCGGGAAACGGGGGGCTGCAAGGAGAGGGGAAGAAAGGGCTTTCTGTAAGCCCCAGGGCCCACACAAGAAGCTCAGCATCTCCTCTGGTCCCCAACAACCTGCCCAAGCGGCCAGCATCCAGCTAGCAGGCTGGGGCAACGTAACCCTGTACAGGCACCCAACCCTTCCTCCTCCTACTGTAAGGCTGGACTGCTCTGTTCCCCTTGGTTACAGGTCCACAGGAGAGTCCCTAGGACATAAGGCAGTGATGCTGGGAGCTGCTCCTCCACACAGGGGGGCACACACACCTGCCCCCCAGGGCAGCAAGAATTACCCGTGCTCAGAGAAGGACAGGGAAAAAGGGGGGTGGTAGCACAAAGCAACCCTGTCCAGAGCCCAGTGAAGTCCCGTGGGAAGAGCTGAGCTGCATCCCAGACACAAAGAGATCAGGGAAAGAGAGACAGATGAGAACAAGGAGAGCAGCTGAGTGTTAAACTTTAATAAAAATCCTTGAGAAACAAATGGAAAATAGAGAGCAGAGTCCAAGAGAAGAGCATCAGCCTGCAGTCCACACACGTATGCTGTAGGGCACACCAGAGAGCTGATGGGCTCGGCTGAAGGATGTTCCATCTCCAGCAGCCCTACTGTCCCCATAAACTGCAGCCATGCTGCTACACATGGTGTCTCTTGGGCAGCAATGTGCAAGCCTGAGATATCCCCCCAGGGCCCGATGCTGGGGTTAGGGCAGGATGTTGGCACAGGCATTCAGAAAAGGTCCCAAGCCCTGCTCCTTCCAGAGGAGTGGGGTACTGATAGGGGACTTTTCTCCAGGGCCCAGGCTGCAGCAGGGCAAGAGCACACTTGGCTGCCAGCAGCTCAGGACACAGGCAACCAAGGGCTCAGCCTATGCTGGTTGGGGACAAGAAGGGCAGGCTCAGCCAGCTCCCATGCAGCAGATAAACCACCATGTCAGGATTTAAAAGCAGCCTAGGACAAAGACCTGACAAACCCCACTTCCTCAGGCTTTGCCATTTGTTTTGAAAGCTGAAGTCACACAGCTCTCCTCTTTGCCCAGTAAAACATCCCTCTCCAAAAACAGCCCTGCAAGCAAGTGTGCAGTGCAAGGAGCTCCCACAGTCCTTGCTCTACAGAGCCAGCTCCCATCTCTTCCTTTGAGGTAGGTTGATGTGTCCCCAGTGGCTGCCTGGTCACATCACCAGGGCGGTGTCCGAGAGGCAGCCAGAAGGTCTCTGGTTGGCTCCACCAGTGCACTTGTTGAGAGGTAAACTCTGAGTAGGGCTGGGCTCCAGGCATCTTGTAAGGTCCTCACCAGCTGAAGGGAGGTGTGTACTGCAGGAGAAAAGAGATCCTATGCTGCTTAGGGATGGTGAGAAAGGACCAAAAGGGCCATGGTGCGACATTCATCTGCAGTATCATGACACACGAAACTCAGAGATAGGGCTGCCAGGCTCACCTACTCCATCTCCCATCCCAGGCAGCACCACTCACCCCAACAGATATCCAAAACATTGATGGGACTTCAGAACCACAACTTGATCTCCCTGTCTGAGTGTAAACCCAAGTCCATCCTGGTCTGGGCACAGGAACATGGATGTCCTTTCCGGTAGCACAAGAGACAAGGGGTGTGCCTCCTCTCCACTTTGGCTCAGCCAGACCCTATCCTTCACCTCTCTGCAGGAAGCTCTCAGGGCCAGTAGCCCAGCTTTGCTCAGGGAAGCTGGCAGAGTGAGGCAGACCTCAAGGCCTCACTGCTCCCCCAGTCTATGCTGCAGCTGAGAGCCTCTGCTCACTGCTAACCACATCAGTGCCCACAGAAGTGGCACAGTTCCCTATCAGGGGAACATCTTGTCAGCGTGTCCTGACCATGACAGCCCTGAACATTACTCAATCTGGCTGTTCTGGGCTTCACTCCCATCTGAGCTGGGCGCACAGTGCCAAGGAGACATGTTCAGTTACGCAGACATCATGCCAGACCCACCAGTTGGCTCTCCAGAGAGCTGAAGCTGGCTTCAGAGCCTGCAAACCAACCTGCTCCTCTTCCCTTAAACAAAGCTACTTTCCCTGCTGCCAGTTCTCTCCAAGGACACTAGTCCTAAAGCCACACTGTGAACACCGTGCTTGTCACGGCCAGTGCAAACTTACCCCAGTCTGCCCAGTTCCAGTTTGCTGAAGCCATTAGATTGAATGCTACTCTTCTGGAGGAAGAAAGACTTTGGCAACGACCACTACAGGAGGAGAGAAAGACAACAGAATGGCTATTTAAGTCATGGCAAAAATCCCTCAAGCCTGCTATGCTCTGCCATAGGCTGCCCTAGAGAGCTTCAGCTAGAGCTGCCTCTGCCGCACATCGTCACTGCCACCAGACTGTTCCAAGAATAGCAAACAGAGCAGTCTTTGCTCTCTGCCTGATGAATCCCTCCGCTGAAAGTGGGAGTAAAGCATCTCGAGGTCAAGAGTGGGTTTCTTTCAGTGCATCAGTGTGCTGTAAGGCACAAGAGTGACAGACGGAGATGACTCCCTCGCAAAGAGACTAAAGGGCAGGCCAGGTGCCAAATATGTAGGGCTGTACCCAGTGCACCCAAGGATATTCAGATGCAAAATACTTGTAGATCTGATATACTGTTCATGACTTCATGTTAGTGGGAATGGGAAATAGGGCACCATGGGTTTTTCCAGACTCCCAGAGGCCTTGGCAAAGAGGGAAGAAGGAGGTAAACAGGTAAGGCAGGAACCAGAGAAAGCAGAACAAGCAGGCTCTCTACCCAACTCTGGCAGGCAAACAAGCCTCTCTGACTACCTTACCCACAGTCATACGCACCATCTGGGCAAAATCTGTCCCTGTCCCAGTGTGGTACCCTTTGACACACCAGTTCTTCAGTAGCTCCAGACCTGGGAAGCGACAGAAGACAAGAAGTGAGAATGAACAGCCAGGTTTGCAAAGAGTTAAGCCTTCCCAGCTTGAAGCATGTAAATATGCTGCACTGACCACGCAGAACATGCTATGCAATCACTACTTGAACACGTGCCTGACCGCCAGCAAACATGGGGTAAATCAAGGGCGTTCACCCTTTGTACGAGCAAACACCAGCACATGGGCTGCTGCAGTGCCTGCCTTCCTCCCAGGGAGCCAAGACACTCCATGCAGCAGTCTCAGTGAAACAGGGAAACTGGGGCAACACAAGATTTGCCAAATTAGACCAGATTGGCTGTCCCCCTGAGCCCAGTGCCTGCCAACAGCAGCACCTGATTTGGGCTGCACCGGTGAAAGTTCCTCCAACACAAATGTAGAGCAGCTTTGCTGTCATCGGCCTCTTTCCCAGAGGAGGGCAGCTCAGGCAACCTCCTCCTTACACAGCACTGATCAGCTGCAGCATCCCAGTGTATCATCTCCTCCCTGCAGGGATTCATCCAGAGCTCAATGTGGACTGAGACCTGGTCTCCATGCCTGACAGTGGGACCGAGCTCATCACTGGTGTGACTGGAAGGGACCATTCCTCTCACCACACACAAGACACGGTGCTCCAGAGCACAGAGAGGTCATCTTGAAACAGAGCCACATGTTCGACTGCACTGACCAGAAATAACCCAAAAATATTGAGAAATCCAGGGCTGCTCCCGTCCTGTTTTCTTTTTTAAGAGTCTTCAGGTCATAGCAGAAGCTAAGGTGCCTTGAGATTTAAGAACCAGCAGAGCAATGGCCAGGAACTTGATGCTGTCCAGCTGGGATTACTGTAGTTTGCTATACGATACCAGTCCTGGCTATAGGAGAAATCCTTGCTGTCCAAACCCTGCTCCTCAGTGACCTGTCAGCAAGCCCCAGAATCTTGTAAAAAAAAAAAAAAACATGTGTTGGGGCTGAGGGGAGTGGGGCAGCTTGGACACCCTGTCCACCTTGCTGGCTAGGGTGAGAGGAAGGCATGGAACACAGGGGAACAGGAAGGGGACAGGGGAAGTTGGGTTCTGCTCAGAGGTGAACAGCAATGAGTGGGGAGAGTAAATCCGCTCACTGGGCTGCTTTGGGGAAGCTGGAGCACTGACCCAGGACCCTGGCCTAAGCTACAAAGTTCTGGGCAGCACTTCAGTGAGAATGATGACAGGATCTTCCTTCCAGCAGACGGGAGAGCATCCAGCAAAGGTATTAGCAAGGCAAAGTATGACACATGCTGACAATACAGCTGAAGAGGGCTATGAGGTTTCCATCTCCCTGTGAAAGACTGTTACTGACCCCTTTGATATTTGCTTTAACACCAGTGAAAAGAGACAAAAGCATTTTTCTTTTTTCTCTGCATGACAGCCAGGCTGGGAGCACACATACGGACACCACAGTGGAGGGCCAGCTCCTGCAGAAGCCTATCCAACTAGATCAGATGTTGGACAGAAAGCCCTGAGCCATAGTCTCTTTCTTTTTGTCCACTAATCCATCATGCTAGACCTCATCGATTCTCTCTCCCAAATAGCCTCTACTGTTACCGTGACAGAGACAGCCTTGGGTGAGAAGGAATTGGTCCAGCCACCTCATTACAGGATGTTTTTTATTAAAATACAGAACTATGGCCTGGAAAGGTGGAAACGTTAGCTAGATTTCTAGTGCTTAGGAAAAATTTCTGTCTGCATGCTGACAATTTTTCATCAATTAGAAAGCTGCAGGAGACCAGGGAATAGGCCAAATTTTTCCTTCCCTTCCCAGATCACCTGTAAGGAGCAAAGCTAGGAACTCCAGCTGTTTCTCCCTCAAAAGAGGCCAGAACTACAGGCTGATGCAGCTAATCCCAGCCTCTTCATCCCCAAGGCACCTAGAAGTGCTGGTGCCGAACAGTCATCACCTCTTTTCAACTCAGAATAAGCTTTTTGTGATATTTGAAGCAGTCTGGGAGGGTAACACTTTTCCTACTGGTTAGTGTGCAGGCAGGCAGCTCCCTCTGAACGTGCGTAGCTCAGAAGCCTCCCACGACTGCCGGCAGGCAGCCTGCCTGACTCAGGTGGCTGTGTCAGGCTTTAGGAGGGCAGTTACCTTTCTGTCTATTCAAGTAGTATTTGAGCTCCCACTGGGTCACCAGGATGTTGAAGTAACGAGGCTGCTCAAAGAAGCGCAGGTACCGCATAGAGATGTGGCTGGGGAACACCCTCTCAAACTGCCCACGCCGGGAATACTCATCCTCTGTCTCCACCAGGATGCGAACATCATCTGGGGTCAGGGTATCCAAGACAGAAGAATAAAAATCCTGCAGACAAGAGCAACTCAGGGTCAGGGAGAAGTATCTCTCAAGCAGAGGTCTCCATGTGTCTGAGCTCTTTGGGGCACAGGTCCCATGGAAACTGAAGGACTCTAGGCTCAGTGATAACATCGACACTGCACAGAACTGAAGAGATCCCCAGTTCTGCAGCCCAGTCTCTCACACACACTGCCAGGAGGCACACAAGGCCAGTAGCCCTGCTAACCTGCATAGGGTCAGCAGGCAAAGGCTATAAGAGCTGCACAGGCAGTGCTCAGGCTCTGTTTTGGGGACTGGCAGGCAATGTGCCTCTCAGCACACACTTATTTATATGTACAGATGAGTCAGTGAGACACTGGCTTAAGCAAACCCAATTTATTTCTGAGCAGTGATATTGTAACCCACTGGAGCCTAAGTGTGCCCCATCACTTGGCTGACCTCAGAGAGGGACACAATATGAAGAGGGACCAGGGATAGACCTGTGGGACTGGTGGGGACAAGGGCTTGGGAGGATGGTGCAAGTATCAAAGGAGAATGTTTCATACCTGGTCAGGTATCTTCTGCATCAAGTAATAGGCCTGCTTCATCTTCTCTGCTCTGAAATGCTCAGACACTGGCTTGGGCTTTTCTTTCAAAGCACTATCCAGACTGAGAACACAAGAGAGGTAGTAGAGCATTTAAGCAAACAAGACAAAGCCCTGCTATGGCAGACCTGCTCCCACCAATTTCTGAGAAAGCAGTGACACCCCCAGAAAGATGCCATGGAGGAGAGAACACTTTCTCCAAGGATTTCACTAGTTCCAAGATCAGTGACGCATCCACAGCCGTGTCCATCAGCACAGGACCCAGGAAGGCTGTGGGCAGGGAAACTGGGAGGACTCTGCCAGCTCCTCGCTAAGGCATTTCAGTGTTCCTTCATCCAAAAGGTGAACCATCACTTCACACTCACATAGGATGCAAGAGGGTCAAAGATACACTGTGACATGATTCACAGCACATGAAGCCTGGGGGATCTCATGTTTACACTGCACTTGGAACACAGCTTCCTAACTGCAAGCACAGGGATGGGAGTACAAGTACTCAGTACTGGTACTGTACAAGGAAGAAGAGAACTAGATCAAAAACTTCCCCTGGCATCCAAGATCTCTCAAGACTTGAATCCAACTCCAGCTCCACATGCCATGGGAAATCCCAGCCTTTGTACTATCTGACCAAGAACCATTTAAAGTATTCTAAGCACCAACTGAATCACTCAGGGATACCAGAGTCTGGGAGATACTTCTTGAAAACCTTTCAACCGACCTATCAACATAGCTTTTTTTGTTCTGCTGCTGCAAAAGTAATTAGTTGTGTGCAGATTCAAACAGGGGGAGCAGAGCCTCGAGGCTGTGCTGCATGGTGCTTGGGGAACATACAGATCTACCGGAATTAGGCCCATATGCAAAAAGACCTTTCATACCCTTCCCAGGGCAGAAGATACTATTAAACAACCTTGCCCCTGGATGCAAGAACTCTGGTAATGCATCATCCAAACCATGTTAAGGATTTGCTTAATCCTCTGCAGGTCCCTCCAAGGACACCTGCCCTTCAGCACCTCCATTGGAAGCCACAAACCAGTGTGCGAACAAAGCACCGCAGATGAGCTGGCGAGAGCTTCCCATCTTGAGCAGGCCCACGCTCCAGCTTCTCCCTTCACTGAAGGCACAGGGCACACAGAGGGCAAGAGCCCCATCTTTTGGCATGACCACACATCACTGCATGCGGACGCTCATCCCAGCAAGCTGCTCCTTCAGTGACATATGGTCAGCAGCCACTCTGCTGCAGGGAACAGACTGGTTTCCTTCTAGCCATTGGGTTTGAAAGCAGGATAAGCCCTAGCTGTGGTGAGGAACAGGGGCCTGGGTGGACACATGCCCAGGAATTAACCTTATGCAAGAAACAGTCATGTTAGCTGCAAGGTTAAGACTTGCACACCCCTACCCATAGGTCTGCACCCTTCGACAGCAGCAGTCCTGCCTAAGGAACTAACCAATACAGCCCTTGCAAAATAACAGGTGCTCCTCTTGCTCAAAGAAGTGGCACATCAGTTCTGGTAAGTCAGAGGGCAAGTGGATCCAGCCCCAACAGAGTCAACCAGCATGCCCAGCAAAGCTTTCTAAGCTGCAGATGAATGCTGCTTTTGCAGGCAGAGAGGACTTACATTCCTGCAATCTGGAGAGGGAAGCTTCAAGCAAACTGAGAGGCTGTGAGGCTCAGCATCATATTAGTTCTGGCAGGGGGAAAGACAAGAGAGCTTGACTAACTGCAGAGCAAGCACAAATTACATTGGCCTCACTTCCAACTATGGACCTGCAGAAAGGGCATAAATCCTTCTGCCTTGAAGAGACCGCAGAAACCAGATACCCAGGCAATGATGCAAGTTCCTTGGACCCATATCTGAAGGACCAGCAAGCACAGGCTCTCAACAGCCCAGCATTTGCTGGGCTCTAAGTAGCCTCCCAGAAAAAATCACTCAAGAAGAAGCCTGACTCTTTGACAGAGAAGGGGGCTGACCTGCAGGTAGAGCTACTTCTTGTCTCTGGCCTTGAGGCCACACTGTCCATGCTGGGCAGAACAAAGCCGGCAAGGTTGAGAAGGTCTCGAACCATCTGGCCCTTGATGCTCACATCCAGAGGCGAGTTGGAGTGGAGGCTGCAGAGACAAAGCATAACAGCAGTTTGAGTGACAGAATGGAGGTGCTGAGGCCCATGGCCCTGAGATCAATCCCTGGGTTATTACTGACCAGAATACAAACAGCAGCCTGTCCCTTGCCTCATCACAGCTGGCCATGAGACACAGAGAAAAATCCTGACAACAGCTCTTTGAAAGGGGAGTTCCCCATCAGAAATGGTTAACTTTTCCATCTCTTCCCAAATTTTCTGGAAATAGGCAAATCCATCCCCAGAGTCCTGTGTAGGACCATGGCCCTGTGTCCAGCTCATGCCCATCTACTCTTGCCAGCAGGAAAGGCCATGCTCAGTTACACTGCAGTTCCCGGCCGTGTCTGCACAGCCGACACTGCCTGGCTGGGTGCTGTCAGCAAGGAAGAAATGGTGCATGAGGCAGTGGAATCGCTGATCACTTTTGCCCACGCAGAGAAGAAATCTCTGCCATCACCCATTCTGTACATGACACATTCCTCCTTGGCCTTCCTTTTTTAAAGTATTCTTCCCTGGCTCTAGCTGGAGCATGCCCAACAAAGCTTTCTGAGCTGCAGATGGATGTTGCTTTTGCAGACAGGGAGGACTTTCATTCTGGCAATCTGGAGAGGGAGGCTTCAAAGCCCACAGTCTTTTAGCACAGGGTACAGGGGACATCACAAGCCAAACTCATTTTGTGTTAAAGGGAAGGCCATTATTCACTCTGCTGCAGCTCAGAATATGCTTTACCTTGGGGAAATATTGACCTCTAAGATCCAGGGCTTGAGGTTTTCATCCAGCATGATATCAAACCCAAACAGCTCATGGCAACAATATGGCCGGCGCACGTACATCTTCACAAGGCTGTTCACGTATGGCTCAGATCTGCAAGCCAAGGAAGAAATGCTTGTTTCCAACAGTCAGACAGCAGAGGTCTGGCTGTTCACAGCACATGCTGACAGTTCTGGAAGCATAATGCAGCCACATGCTGCAGGGTCAGGTAGGTGAGAGACCGACACAGGCCAGTGAACTGCTACTGCTGCACTGCATACGGATCCAGCACTGCAGATCAGGCAGCATGGACTGCTGAACGCAGTCCAGATTCATCCTGCACCAGGGACCATTCTTGTCAGGCTCCCTGGCAAAGCAGGGGAGTGGGTAGCAAGCTGGGCAGCACTGGGCATACCACACCCTCCTGGTCTGCAGGCAGGCCCAGGAAATGTAAGGTGTATTTACCCACTGCAGCATGAGTATACGTAACAGGATGAGAGGAAGAATCCAGATAGAAATACTGAAGCCAACAGTGGTGATACCATTTCAGTTAAGAGCAAAAGGACCAGGCTGAGAGGGACTGGAGAGCCAGAGGGGTCGGGGTGCACCGCACAGCCAGGCACAGAGCAAGGGGTGCCAGGACTCACGCAATGATGGTTTTGATAACGATGTCCTTAATCTTCTCCCAGATGGCCTCACTATTCACTCCCTTCTGGGTCAGGTAATTCCAGAGAGCTTTGAGTGCCCTGGAGAGAGAAAGCAAAGGAAGTAGCCCTGTAGCCCCTTGCTGAAAGGAGTGAAAGCAACAGAGGACAGCCCTGACAACACCCTTCCCTGGCACAGCCATCTTTCTGCCATCCTCAAGCCCCTCAGTTGCTGCCCTCCCCAGCGTGGCCCCTTGTCTTGTAGGTCCAAGCTACTAGTAACATAAATTTGTCCCAGCATGGTCTCAAATTAGCACATGAGCAAGGTAAGTCAGGCCCACATGTTCTCTTCCCTCCCCCTCCATGTCCTCAGCAAACCTCCCCTTCCTGCAGGCCTTCCCCCGCAGCACTGCAAAGCAGCTCAGCAGGAATCCAGTAAGATCCTGAAAATGTTTTAGCTAAGCCATTTCACTGAGGCTTCAGGGCAAGAAGAATTTTTGAAAAATGTGGGGAACAAGATGGTATGGGGGAGCATCTCTGCTTTTATAGGAGTTTTCCACACTACATCGAATGCTGCAAGCTACCCTGACACTGAGCCAAGGATGCTCAGATATTTCTCAAGTGAGAGCATGTGGCTAACGGCCAGGAATCCAAAGGTCATGCTTCCTGCATACAAGATGGAGTGGATTACAGCCACACTTATCTTTAACAAGAGAGCAACCAGCTTTGACTTGCAATGGCAGTACAGCAAACCCACACAATCCCACCCCTATGCGACTGCAACTGCTGGGAGGCAGTAAACTGCTTAAAAGTCCCAGTGGAGAAACAGACCACTGTGCAGCATGTCCTGGCCTGAGAAAGCAATCTGACCACAGCAAACCACTTTCTGCAACTCCCTTTGAAGTGCAGTAGCCTTGTCCAGGCTGCGAATTGAGAACTCTACCCTGCACTATTTTTAAAAGAGTTCAAACGCTACCATGGAATCAGAGGTAAGTGCCCGGGGCTTGCACCCGTTCGCCCATGGGACAGCAGGGAATGGGAACTCCTGCAAGACTACAGCCCTCCTTCCAAAGGCCTAGAAATGGCACCACTGCTCCTATTCACACCGAGTGCACATAAATTAACATTCTGTAACAGGGCTGTCCCTTTCTCTGGCTCCAGAGGGAAGTCAAGAGTGAGATGGGCAGAAGTTTCCATCTAGCCAATTTAAGCATCACAATTACCCATTCAATTTCTGACAGCAAAACCAATCAGATTCTGCTTTAACCACATGCCATCGCCCCCACAATAGGGCAAAGGAATGAATGAACACAGATGACTGCAGCATTGGAAGCAGGAAACGGCACAGACACAGGCAGGATGAACAGCAACCACAGCCCAAGCAGCAGTTGACAGGATAAGTCACAAGGCATGGAGACCATCCAGATTCCATTGACACTAACTCATGCTAAAATCACTCTGCTCTTTCAGTTTCCCCAGTGGGAGCAGATGATACAGAAAGCAAGTTCAATTTTTGGGTAGGAATACTGAAAAAAGTCTGAATTAACAGGAAATATAAAGAGTTGCCCTGTGCCCTAAAAGCAGCACCTACCATTTGTGTCCCTGACAAGCAGTCTCATCCGAGTTGGACTTGTACTCTGTGTTCTTCTTGTTCACACTGTAGTTGGTTAAGTGCACGAACTTGTTGCTGAGGCTCTCCATTGAGGAGGAGTACCTGGAAGAGGTAATAGGAGCACAAGCAGTCTGAGACTGAACTGGCTGCCCCCAGGTCCATCTCAGACCACTCTCAGCCACCCACCAGTCCTGCTGCCTGGAGCTCTCTGACCCCACAGGCCCAGAGCTCATGGACAAAACATGAGACAGCACAGGCTTCCTTGGGACAGTGGAACGTAATCCCACCCTCACAGCATGTCCTTAAGAAAAGGCCAGAGCATCGGTGAGCAGAAGCACTGCTGGAACTGCAGTAGTCTGAGGCATATAATGAAAACTAGAAGAAACATCTCAGATTCTGGTGTGCCAGCTTTTATGCAGAATGAAGAACAGACAGCATGTTTCAAGAACTGCTTTACACTGAATTCATCTTGCATTGGGAAAGGTGGATGTAGGCAGCATCCTCTCACATTCCCTTTCAACACTGTCACCTGCAACAACCTCCTGCGTTTCCACTCTGCTTCTTAAGCAAGCAAGATATAGCTTTGAGCATCACCATCTAGGGGATGACTCTCTCCTGCCACAGCCGAGGCAGGTACCACAGCCACACATGCCCTGGCACCAAGGCAGCCCCAGAACCACTCTCCTGCACAACCTACTTGCAGCTGGCAAAGCGAACCAATCCATCCTTGAACAGGTAGACCCTGAGGGGATCATAGCAAGTGACGTAAACATAGATCCTCAGGTCAAACTTCTTCCCGCCAATGAGGTAGGGTTTGTGCAGATACCTGCAGAGGCAAGTAAGTTATGATTTTCATGTGCAGGAACATCTCTAACGCCCAACTCAGAAGGCTTGGTAAAACAATGGATCAGTGTAGAAGACCTTTTGCACAGCATTTCCAAGTTAATCACATCACAGTCAAAATGAGAGAAAGAGTAGCTCTCCTATGCATGGGGAGTTCCCACAGCACAGGAGCAGTGTTCCCTTTTGAAAAGATTTTCCCCAGCTCTAAGGCACAGTAGTTTTTCCACACCCACAAGACTGATCACAGTATTCAGGAACATCTAAGACATTCAGTACAGCACAGATGGTTTGGTACAGTGAGAAGAAACAGTTGGATATTTTAATCCAAATCATTTGATTATTCATCTTAGAAGTTCATGATCTCCCATAGGAAAGTTTATCACTTTGCATGAGAAGTGGACAGGGAGAACAAACAAGCAAACATAGCAGTTCCCTGTCTGCCAAAAAAACTGCACAGTTTTCCTGCCCTCAAGAATCTTCCCAGAAAGCAGCATCAAACCAAGACAAGATATTCCATTTTTCTGCAGAAGGGGAAGAAGATTGACAACTGTTAATTCAAGAAAATCCTTTCACTAACATCTATACATACTGAGCTTCTCACTGAACCATTCGAACTTGGATAAGAACAAATCTTTGACAACTGCCACCTCTTCCCTGGGACTTGGATAAAGTTTGTCTCCAAATATGCCAAACCACAGAGTAGAGAGCAGTAGGAGCCAGATCACAGCAGAGCCAAAGCTGTTCACCTGCCAGATAGAAGCTCCAGAAAGCTCATGAAGTCAGTTTGTATCCGAGACCTCAAATATCTACGCAGAGACAGCAGCACTGACAGCTGCAGCTGACAGAGCCAGACTTCCAGCAGCAGGACACCCAGGCAGACTCCAGAGAAGTCTTCAGATGGAAATCAGATGCTTCTGCTCTGCTATACAGTGGCATCGGCCCAGAACTGGCCAGAGAGACCAGCCACTACAAGGTCCCAGGCTGTGTGTCAACCATGCTTTTTCCTTCACTCACCTCTGTACTAACAGCGGCCTCCTTTTGGGGAGCTGGCTCCATTTGTGGATGACCTGGATACCAATGCCTCTTGCTGATGCTGGCTGTAAAACACAAACAAGAAGGGATCGGATCTTCTCCCTGCAGCTACAATGGGACAGAAGGTTGAGCTCTGCTTTACACTTACTGGTTTCACAATCCATTTCTGTCTGCTAGCTCCTTCCTCCCACGCCTTCTTGAGTAATTTGATGTCCTGTGGCAGGATGAAGGACTGAGGGAAGAAGTTAAACTCCTTTTTCCCACAGCGAGCCTGCATCTTCAACAGGTTGCGCCACAGACGGTCTTTTCTCCCAATTTGAAATGAGCCGGGGAAGTGGTTTAGCTGGAAAGGAACCCAGATGCTATGACATCTCCCTGTTTCCCCAGCTCCTTGCCTGCCCCTTCCTACTCCCTGGTCAGAGGATACGTCCTTTCTGAATCCAGTGCAGGGTGACACTCTTTGCTCCCCTCCCAGGATTGCACCCAAATTGATTCCACTTGAAGCTTCTGAAGCTTTGTAGGGACAAACCACATGGTTCGGAGCATCACAGCTCTCCAGAGCAAACATGTACTTGTGATAGATACCAAACCTTTGGTCCCTCACAGGCTCCCCAAGCATGAGCCACACATGACTGTTTTGTGATCTGAATCAGGTACATCCCCTCTGCTGCACTGGCAGAGAGGGCACTGCCCCTACCTCTCAATTCTGCCAGAGGAAGGACTGCTTTAAGCAGCAACAACTGAATTTAGACAAGCTCACAAGTGAACACAATTTGGCTACAGCCTCAGTTTGTGCAAGAGCCACAGCAGAGAAGCTCACCAAGCTGTGCCTTCCTCTTGAGCTCCTCTCCCAGTTCTGGAAGGGACACTGCAGGGACAGCCTGCACAGCAAACACCTGGCCCTGAGGAGAGGGGCACCCAATTTGTTTCCAACACACTCTCCATGCACGTGAAGGAAGTCAGCCCAAAACATCCCCTACCTTTTGGTGCTCCCTGATGGCTCTGAAGCTGGGAGATTTCATGTGGTGGCCCCAGCAACCCAGCCAGTCATTGCTTTCTGTAGGAAAAACAGAAAAGTCCAATACCAAGCATGCTGCCACCCATAACACCCTCTCAACCCACCAGCACCCCATCTCCTGGGGCAGGCAGAAGCGTGCCAGGGATGCTGCACAGCTATAGCACAGAGCACTCATACTGGCTACTGCAGGATTACCAACCCTGAGAACTCTGGCTGTGGTCAGAGAGGATGGTTTCTTCTTCAGCACACGGGGACAAGGGGCAGCAGTGCTGGGGCTGGCACCAGATGATGGCCAGCCTCCCTGCAGTGGCAAGCCAGAGCAAAGCTGCCCCACATGCTGCCTCAGCTTCTGACAGCCCAGGAGTAAGTCCTTGTGGTCCATGCACGGGATGAGCCAAGACGGAGATTAGGCCCTGCCAGGACCTACAGAGCTTGGGTACTGCAGGTCAGGCAGGCAGAAATAGGAACCCAGCATCTTGCAGTGCCAAGCTTGTATTGCTTCTGCTCTACTTTTCCCAGCCATTCTGCCTTCTCAGGCCCACGGACTGGAGGCGAGGAAGGACACAATGTTGCTACCCACAACTTACTTTTGCTAACTCTGAAGTGGGACCTGCAAACAGTTTGCCTCACAATGTTCGGTGTGACTCCACACATTTTCCATCGCAGCAGCTTCCTCTGCTCCCAAGGCAGCTTTTCCACTAGGAAGGCAAAAAGTTAAGGACTGAAGGAAAACAAACACAATACTTGGGTTTTCTACAGCTGCAAGGTTCTTATGATTTGCTGCACAGGTACCAGGCCTGCAAAGAAGGGTGCGTAGCCCCTGTTGCAGAATTAGCATGGAGCAGAAGACTCCATAGTTAGGGAAGATCCAGGACACTGGAATTTAGTGGCAGCATGAGTCATGCTCCAGGCTATGGAAGCAGTATAATTTACTCCAGTCCTTTGGACCTCAGAGCAGTGCTGGGTCTCATCATGGGAGGGGTGAAGGGAAGCCACTCCAGCCAGCTCCCGGTTGTGTGCTGGCACTGCTTGCTTCCTAATTAACGGGCTGCCCAATCTCACCCTGTGTGGCAACAGACCTGGCTCACCTGTCTCATCCCGAGTACTGAAGTAGATAGTTGGAGGCACATTAGGGAATAAACTGCAGACAAGAGCTGGTTTGAGCACTTTTTCCTGAGCCTCAGCAGGCTGGGCCAGGCACTTGATGCAATTCCTAGGAAAGATGAAGCAGGTGGCAGTTGGCTAAAGGTGAAAAGTATCACAGGGAGGAAGGGGGAAGCCAGAAGAAGCTTTGATCCTGGTATCAGGAATTTGCACCATCATCATAATGTGGAACAAGCAATGGGCATTAAGGTCAGTAACCCAGCCTGCGGCGATGAGGGGACGAGCTTGCAATGAATGCACCCACCAAATAAGCACTGTGAGGTTTGTGTTTTGCTGGGGCAAGGAGTAGAGATTGTAATGCATATGATTTAGCTGTTGTAACCTCTTGGTTTTGGTGTGTTGCAGGGAAGAGGGCTGGATTTTACCCAATGTATGTACATCTTAACACAGCAACCCCCAACACTGGGAAGGAAGGGTAGGAATTGTACCATAGCTCTTAAGGTTGTGATGAAGCGAAAAGCAAAGTTTGCAATGAACATATATTCAAATATACGCCACTGCAGCCAGTGCAAGAAGCCACACTAGAGCAATCACTGAGGAACAAAGAGCAGCAAACTAAAAGGAACCACAACACACTGTCTACCCAGTCTCGCAGGCCACCCCTTGCCTCACTAAAGGGACTGAGCGTAGTCTGTGGCAAAGGGATTGGAAACCAGGATGGGGGAAGAAGGGGTGTTTTCCTTAAGTCCTTATGTATATTTTTTTTGTCTTTTCAGTATCAGAATCAATAATTAAAAGTTTGTTAATTGGCAAAGGATTATATTAATTAACATTCTCTGGCACAAAACTGGTTTTGCCCACAACAAACTGAAGGCAGGAGACAGCTGCAAAGGCTTCAAGGCCAGCCCAGCACACAGCCTGCACAGGAAGTGGCCAACATACCTCCCTCCTTGCTGCAAGAGGCATTTGGCCCGAGCCCTGCTTCCCCTATCTGCCCCAGAGGCCACCCAGCCACATCCTGCCAGAAACAGCTGCTGGGCCAGTTTACATCACCTCTGCAGGACTTTCACAACCAAATATGCCCACCCAGAGCCCTGCAGCACCCTGAGGCTCAACATTTGCTCACAGGAAGCCTTGCTTGTCTCCCAGGTTAGTGATGACATGATAGCAAGCAGCAAGCTGTTGGGCAGACAGCAAAGCCTGAGGCAGCCATGGTGCAAGACCTGCTCCTGTTGCTGCATGGGCAAGAAAAGGTCACACAAAGGTCTGCCAGGAGTCACAGAGGCAGGGCTCAAATGACCACAGGCTGAGCAATCCTCCCCACAGAAAGATCCTCACATAGGCTAAAGAAAAACCCAGGCTCCAGGACTTGTTTCTAGGATGCAATGCTGAGACACAAGACCACAAGAAGCTTTTGCAATCTCTGGCCCAGGACACTTCCACTCTGCTTCATCTGCCGGGCAATGACACTGCAAGAGCACAGTTTAATCCAGTAAACCTAACCCAAGAACTGGCAGTGCTAGTGAAATTAAGACCCATGTTTTGCTGCAGTGGATGCACACTTAGCACTTTGCAGGCTGCTGCCTGTAGCCAGAGAAGTAGCTCTGGCCTGCAGTGCACCAAGGAAACTCACATTGGCTGGGAAGTCTGTTGCTACCTTGTCTCCATTATCCCACATGCTACACATTTCCTCTGTCACCAGGGAGGGAAAAGATGGAGAAGTCTGGATAAATATGCCAAGTTCAATGCAGTATTTACAGCTACTAACCTGGATACAAGACTCATGGAGCCACTGGATGACACATCAGTAACAGAGGAAGCATCCGAGTCACCTGCAGGAAGGAACAAACTCAAGTTTTGTCTCCGTGAGGAGTGAACACACGCAGAGTTAGGAAGGGAAGAGAGAAAACAAATGCTCCAGAGGACAGAGCCTTCCAGCTGCCCCAAATCCTTGGATCTTGGGTTTTGACCACTAATTGGTGTTGTAAAAGGCAGGGAAAGGGGCAGAGCTGACAGCCCTACACAGAGAGAAGATGAGTAACCACTGTACCAGGACAGTGGTGAGCCCTAGCCTGCTCCCCAGAGGAACCCATGCAGGAACCCTTGCCCTCCTTGCTGCTACATCACTTTTGGGTTCAGCACATCCTGAAATGACAGCATGAATGTAAGACAGGACAGCTGTGCTCACCCCCAGCTCCCAGACAGCTCCCACACTCCCCACTTTGAGGCATGGAGCAGAGCCCTCCCAGGGGAACCAGCACTCACTGTCCTCATCCTCCTCTTGACTGCAGCTCTCATCCAGGCCATCAGGAAGTTCTTCCTCTGCTTCATCCTGGGGATGGCTTGGCTCCAGCAGTGACTGATCAACAGTGGCACTGGGACAAAGGACATCACATCAGAAGGAATGGCACATGCTTTCTGGGGCCAAAAAAACCCAGAAGCTCATGAGGCAGCATGAGATAGTGTGGGCAGGGGAGTGAGAGCACTGCCCTCTCCAGTGCAAGCACTCATCCCAAGCTAGCAAGATGGAAAGGCCCGAGAGGACCCTGAGAAGAAACATGTTCCAGAGCAGCCAGAAAGCAAGAGGCTCAAGGACACCCTCTCCCAGCAGGAGAGCAGGAACTCCATGTCCTTGCATCAGCTCTGTGTTCCTTTATGAACCCATGTCTTTGACTAGGAAAGCCTGGCTTGACAGCAGGCTTCACTCAACATACTTGCAGAGCCTGCCACTGCAGGCAGGGCCCCATGACTGAAAAACAAACTAGAAACACCATACAGCAATTCCATGCTGTGGCTGATGGAGAAGGTGGAAGGGCTTGTGTCAAGCTGGGGGTGGCAGGAAGGCTACCCCCACACCAGGATGCCACAGTTGGGTTTTGCTCAGAGACACAACCCATGGTAATCCTTACAGCCACCCCTGTACCGCCCACAGTGCATCCTCTCCCAAAACACACAGATACAATGGCCAGCCCTGCCCAGCCCACCACAGCCTCCCTCCTCCTCCTGCCTCTACTTACTCAAGCTTTCCTGGGACAACAGCCTGGACCCATTTCTTCTCTTTTTCCAGTTGAATGGTGGACATCTGTTTTGTCACGTCAGAGATGGCAGCGAGGTGTAGAGGCTCAGCTCTCACCACCTGATTCCCCGCACGCGGGCTGTGCGTGCCCACGAGCCGGCAGTCGGAGCTGCCATCGGGAGCGCCAGCACGTGAGGCCAAGGGACAGACGCTGACACGGTTAGTGCAGGCAACGGCACCACTGGTGCCCCTAAGGCTCGAGTTACTGTTAAGGCGATGGCTCCCCCGCTCCAAGTTCAGAGGAGCAATAGTGTCTTTCGGGGTGAGCTGCGCTCCGACGTGCTGCCTCCTCCTGCTGTTCCAGTTGGACAGGCTGCCCACCTTTGTAAGGCCAGAACTTCTGACTTGGCACCCAAAGCCGTTGCGTGCGGCAGCCTGACTGGCTAGCTGCTGCACAGCCTTCAAGAGGCTCTTCTCCGGCTCCTTCTCCTTTGAGCTGTGAACTCTCTTCTGAGTGTTCTGCCATGAGCACTGGTCCTTCCTGAGGACAGCACTGCTTGGCACAAGGGTCAGGGAGGGGACCATGGTTTTCTTCAACACAAGGTCACTGTTCGTCACTGCTCCATTGATCAGGCTGCTAGAGAAGCTGTCTCCATTGCCCCCAGAGTGGGGCCATGAGGCAGCAGGAGAACTGTGGGATTTTTCCACCTTTTTGATCTCCAGTGACTGCAGAAAAGGCACTTTAGCACTGCTTGGACGTAGGAAGGAGTTGTTATTGAGCACTGGTCTATAGGAGCTGGTAGCCTGCTGACCTGAGCTGAGGGCAGAGCCTTTGACCCCAGTCCCAGACTGCTCCTCCACCAGCACAGGAAGCAGGCAGGGTTCCATCAGCGAGGAAGACATCGCCCTTCCCGTGGCAGAGGCAGTGCCAGGAGGGCTTTGGAGGGTGTCTTCAGTGGGCTGTGCGTGGCATAGTGACGGTGAGCACAAGAAGCAGGATTGCTGCAGAGGGATCCCTGAGGGCAGCAGGATTCGATCCTGGAAAGCACTCACATACCTCTTCTCTAAATTCCAGGTGGGTTTCGCCTGCTGCTGAGAGAGGCGCCAGGCCCAGCACGGCTGAGGTCTCCCAGCCAGAAGGGTGCCTGACTTGGGCCCAACACTCTTCTCCTGTTTAGGGCCCAGATTAGCATGGTCTGGTCCTGAAGAGGCCATGTAGAGCCATAGCACGTGAGGCACAAGCAAGTCAGTCATCTACAGCAACATCTTTGCTGGCCTGAAACAAGAAAACGGCATAAAAGGCACTGTTACCCTGTCAGGGCACAGCACCCAGCCCAGTGCACCATGAGGAGAGCAGGGTGAGCTGCTTTTCCTGCAGGATGAAAACCACATCACAATCTGCTGAGCTCCCCAAGAGTCTCCCCAGACCAAGTCAAAGAAGAGCTGGCATCTCACATGAAATCAGAGGATGCAAAGGAAACTGCAGAGAGGGACATCTGCAGGAAAGCTTGTACCCTGTAAACATGCAGGGGTGCCTGACTGCCAGCCAGGGCCATGGGGCAGCAGCCCTGTCTGCAAGGAGAAGCTGCCTGCCTTGGACCCACACAGCTGTTGGAGCCCACTCTTACAGGTCTGTGTCTCCAGGCTGCACCATATGCTCCACTATCAGCTCTCCTGACTCCACTACAAGCATCAAAATGTCTGCTTTTTTTTCTCCCCATTCCTTAAAGCTTCAGCTTCCAAGGTTACACAGCTAGGTGAGAACCTCAGCCCTGCTTTTAAAAGGAACATTTTTTTACCTTTGTAACCCCGGAGAAAGGCTCAGTGAGGTCTGAGGGCACCCTAAAGAGCTCAGTGCTGAGAAGGCAGCAAGGAGCAAATGCAAGGCTGTTCTAACATCAACACCTTGGTTTCCAGCAGAGACTGGCAGTGCTGTGCACTCATATTCCTCCCCGCTGCAGTCCTACAGAAAAATCTCCTGCAAGGAGCAACTGGCAGACTACAGAGCTGCAGACGTAAGTGTCCTGAATCCTCCTAGAATGAACTATTGCACCACACCCGCAACATCCTCTTGCCTGGGGAGAAGGGAAAGAGAAAACAAACCATGAGCCAGTTATTTGTCTTGCTTTAACACATGCCTGGAGGGCCCCTGGATACAGCTGCGATAGGAATTTGTATTCCAAGCAGACTGGCTGGCTCTTCCACCTTCCAGCTCTCATATGCTTGCAAGTTTTTTTTAAAAAAAAAGAAAAAGTATAAAAAGAAGGGTAAGCAGAGCATCGACCATCATCCTCTTGGTTTTCTTGCAACACACATACACACTCCTGTCTCACCTGAAAGTCAAGCCCTAGATGCAGCAGTTAAAGTGTAGCTTGGAGACCCTGGGGTTGCTCTGTAGCACTGTGATAGCAGCTCTCACCACCACAGGGCTGGGTCAGACAGACCTACACTTGCCAGACCTCAACCTGTGAATCAGCCTCAGTCTCCAGCACATACCAGGTCAGCAGCATCTCAGCAAGAGGCTGTACAATATGGAACATCCCATGCAGGATCACACAGGAGCTACACATTCTCAAGGAGAGATGCTACCCTGCCAAGCTCTGCAAGAAAGGTTCCAGGGCCACTCCATACCCACAGGGCTGCACTGCTTGTTAGCACTTGTACAGTCAAACTGAACTCCTGATGAAGACAGGACATCTGCATCCTTATGGGAGCTGCAGCCCAGAGGGACTCCAAGTCCCAAGGGGAAGGGAATCCCACAACTGAGATGTACCTCACTATTCGACTGCTACCCAATCTGCCCCCGGTAGCAAACCTGGCTGTGTTGTGACATTCACAGCAATTAGCACAGAGCGAAGAAGTTGTGGCTCAGATGCCACCACCTGCCTGGCTCAAGTTTCCCCCAGTAACCAAGGGAGTAAAGCTCAGCTTCCACACGCTACCCCCTCGGATGGTCAAAAGCGCACTCAAACCACAAATCGAACCTAGCACACCAATGAACTAGGTGTGAAAGAGCAAATTAAAGTTCAAGGTGAATGAAAGTGTTCCCGGTGTCTCTGCTTAGAGGGGACTGTCACTGTGGCATCACAACATGCCCTGCCAGCTTGGCCACCGCCTGTGCTCTCACCCGGCTGTGAATGACCTTGCAAAACCAGCCTGCAGTGAAAGCCATCTGTGCCTCATCTCCACCCGGATTTACAGCTATCAGTGGATCATCCCACTGTAAAAATAAAAAGTGATGGGGCCTAATGAAGCTGTAAAAAGGGACGTGAATCTTACAGTCAGCTTGCACACAGGTGTGAAAATGCCAGAAGCCCTGTGTGACCCCGATCTGGAGTAAGTGCCAACAGCGGCACAGATGTGACCAGCACAGACACCAGGGGCACTGCTGGGAGCTGCAGCTGCTGGGGTGGAAATCTGGCCATGGCATGGCCTCAGCTGCCACTGCCTGGAGCCCAGCCTCATTGCAGCACAGGGACAGCCTCATTGCAGCACAGGGAGAACACGCTGAACTTGTCTCTCTACGGGGCAGTTTTGCCATGGAGTTGCTCAGTCAACACAGGGCAGGAGTGCGCTGGAAGCTGTGCCTCCATAAGGAAGAGAAGAAGCAGGGCCTTTAGTACAGCTTCCAGGCGAGGATGGTGCCAGCCAACAGCTAGTAACCACCATTTCCCCATGGAGACACGGGAGCTCTGAGAGAGGGGCAGGAAGGATGAAAGGAAGATGAACCCACATGGAGCAGGTGAGGATGCCCATGCCACCTTGTCTTTCCCCCTCTGCCCCATGTGCTTCCCCACATCCACCCTTCTGTCCCACCTGCACGCCAGCACAGTCACTCCTTATGTCCACCTGCAAACCGTCTCCCATGCTCACTGCAAGGACAGCACGACAAAGCAGCTGCTGAGCATCCAGGAGAACTGGTGGAGATGAAGGCACCTTCACATGCCAGGCTATGGCCACAACAGGGCAGCAGCTGCCACATCTCTGTGGCTCTGGGCAGGAAAAACATCGTCTGCCTCAGGGAAATCCCTGCTGATTACCAGTCAGGGAAGTTTTCCCTTTACATTTAACTCAAGTCAGAGTTTTGGGGTGGAAGAAGGTCACAGCTTGATGCAATCTCTAGTTCTGCCAACCCAACCCTATGGCAAAGGAGCTGGAGTCCATTCTGCAGCTCACAACGGCAGTAAAACTACACTTTGGAATTTTATTGTAGAAACATGAGCTGGGAAAAGCCCAGGATAAACTGGCCAGGCTGGAATTCAAACTCAACCAAGTAATTAATGGATTTTGGCTTGGACTTACTGACCCACAATATAGAGGCCAAAGTTGTCACTGTTGGAGTGACCGTACAGCTGCACTTGCTTACAACTATTTTGCTAGCACCTTTTATTGCCACACAGCCTGCTCAGAGGCTTCAGGGCATCAGCTGGAGCACTGCCACAGCCTGTGCAAATGTCACATCAGGGGCACACAGGGCCACCACACGCCCTGGCCTCTGTGTACCCCATCGTATGTCAGTGAAAATCATTTTTTCCAGCCCGAGCCCCACTGTGGCATGTGCTCCCCTAATGGCAATGTGGCAGCTCTCTGCAGTCCCATTCCTAACAGGAAAGGACAAGATCATAAGAGCCTGGGTGTCACAGGAGTTTGGCTGGGGAGGTTATTTTAAACTCAGCTTGGTGACACACTTAAAATAACAAGAGCTTGCAAATGTATGCGCTTCGAGCTGACCTGATAACGGGCTGTCAGCCTCACATAGCCCAAAGTCACAAGGAGGGGCGGTTAGACAACTGTGCTTGCTATTGTTTTCTATGCCATTGCAGGGTGCAATTTCTGTTCTTTATGATTAAAAGGGATGACATGTTTTTCTAAATGAGACTCGAGTTCACACCAAGTTCCTCACTCGAAGCTCTGGGGCTTTTGATTAAAGCTTGAACAAGCAAGTTAACAACAACACCAAACAGGTAGGTTTTAAAATGAATATATTTCAAAATAAGGGTTTGTACCCCTTTAAAAAAATTTAAAACTTTGAACAAGTCCAACACCATTGATCTGAAACCAACTGATTGAGTGCCTAAAGCTGCTCCAACACCTGGTAGCTAGGTACAAACTTGTTGTTTCAACAGCACAGAAACAGCCCTCCCCTACATCAGCTCCAGGAAACAAATTGTCTCAAGTGCAGTCACACACTGAGACAAAGCAATGTCCGACTTCACCCACAAGTTCAGGCTGAAGAGCAAAGGGTTCTGCTGGCCACAAGAAGTCATCCGTGAGGACAAAACAGCTCAGAGACAGTTTGGCCAACGCAAAAATGCCAGTGGCACAGGGACCAACAGTCGTGCTGCTTTGCCACACAGTTAAGCACTGTTGTTCCCTCTCAGCTCCAGTATCATCCTGCAGAACCACATTTTGGGTGCAAAACAAGAGGATGACAATTTCTCTCCTAATCAAGACCACAAGTTTTTGCTTGGCCACTCAGGTCAAAAGATACCAGTGAGAAACCACCCACTATGGGGATGCATCAGCAAATTCCACCTGCATCCTAGGATTACATCTGTGCCCAGAATTTGCGCTGGGGCTAGTAATTTCCATTCAACAGCTGCAGTGCTGAACTCCACTCCACACTGAACAAAGGAGGTACGAGAAGTGTATGGCTGCTCAAAATGAGCCTTTACCTAAGCAGAATGCTGCCCTGCAAGAGAAGCAGAACAGCTCCAGTGTTCACTCCCATTACCGAGGTGGAGACAGACCTCCTTAGGGGCAGCAGGGTGCTGGACCAAGCCGTGGAAGAGCTGGAATCCAGCCACGACCTCACCCTGTGCTGCAGCAAATGCCTCCCTCCATGCACACACAGGCTGGGCTGGAGACTGAAGGCTCTTGTGTTTGAGTTCACAAGGGACTTTCCCACCACTCTCAGGGCACTGGAGCACAGTGCCAGATGATGTGAAGGACTCCAGCATTGTTAGGCAGACAATCCAGGGCTGCAGCTTTGCCATGGAGAGAGTGCACCAGGGACATCTAAAATAAAGGGCTGTCTCAGTGCTCACACCAGGAGGGCTGACCTGGCTGTGACCAGACAGTGTGCGGGCCATAGCAAAGGGCAAAAGGTGCAGGGTGTGGAATCCCCCAAGGATATCAACTTTTCTCCCTGGCAGATTCCCCAGGCCCCAAAGTGGACACACTGCACAATGACAGTGGACCACGAAGCTCTGTTTCTCCAGCAGTGAAGCTGGGAAGTGCCTGTCCTTGCTCCCATCCCTGATTTATTCTTTCTCATCGTATGGGCTATCGGAGCAGTTGTACCACAGTGTAAAACAAGAGTAGGGAAGCGAGTCTGGGTTAAAAGCGACAAGCTAAACCATGGGGTGTTTAACAGCATTTCACCAAGGAGGTCTAAAGCCCCTTCCTGAAGATTCAAACTGAAGGGACAGCAACTGAGTTTCATGATGGGAGAAAAAGTACAGGAGAATTACACAGCAAGACTTGTGAAGACTTTGGCCACCAGTGCAGGAACTGACAGGTGGTCAGCACAGCTCCGTCTGGTCTTAGGCAGTCTGGCCTTTAGTAGAGAAATAAAAGTGGAAGATTTTGAGCGAGTGGAACAAGTATAAAATATCAACACATAGCAATGAGACAAGAACTACTCAATTAGTTCAAAACACATAAATTCTTTGTCCATCCTCTGCTCTTGATACTTTTTACTGAAACATATCTACAACCAGAAAAAAAGGTTCCCAGGTTTGTCTTTCAAATATATGCTGAGGACACTTCCAAGTCCATGACAGGAGTGGGAAAAATTTCTCTGGAGGCACTGCAAAAACCTCACTCCATACAGCAATCTCTCAGAGCTTAGGAGTGGAGAAGAAAGAGAGATTGAAGTTGAGAAGAAGCTGCCAAATACTCACAGACTTGATGCCCGGGACAAACCTAGGAAATGCCAAGGAGTGACACCCAACTGGGATGGCACAGCAGCCAAAGCGCGCGACCTGTGTCAGTGACATGACATCACGCAGGTACCATTATCTGGGGACAGTGACATTTGTCCCCTCAGCTCCTCCTCAAAATGTGATCCCCGCTGTGCTGAGAAGGGCCCCAGGCATGAGTGAGGAGTGGGAGGGGCCAATCTGTATCAACAAACTTCACCTAACACAAAAGTTAACGACTGCAGCAAGGCAGCAATGCAAGAACAGAGTGCTACTATCTGCTGGGTACAAACACAAAGAATCAAGGAAAACTTATTAGATAAAACTGTAATCAGACCAACAATTCACTGTTAATTCCCCCAAACTATTCAGAAGCCATTAGGTGTCACCTGCTTGTTCAGTGAGGAACATACCACAATGAGCAAGAGAAGTAGCATCTCAGGGAGTCATGGAGGCAGGGTTTTGATGTGGAGCTGAACTCTGCCTCCCATGAGCTACCCACAGCCCAGCTAGGCAGGGTGACAGGAGGCTGGAACAGTGCTATAGGGCTTTACACACCTGTGCCCCTCATTCTCAGCCCAGACCCTGGAGGCATTCAGGAAACACTCCAGGCTTGTTTCAACTCAGCTCTGCCTTTCGCCTGTCAGACCCATCGGCTTCTTTTTACAACACAAGAGCTGTCAAGGCAAGACCCCAATGGAAGGACGAACAGCCAGGCTGCCCCAGTGCCTCACTCTGACCTGGTCAATCCCAGCTCCAGCCTCACAGCTGCTCCAAGTGCCGTTGGAGACGTTCCCTGAGGCTGTGACTGGCTGGGGAGCCAGCTCTACTCACTCCCTGCCACTCGCCCGGGGAATACGCTCTGTGTCTCATTTCTTCAAGTGAAAGTCTTTGAGGCCAAAGGTGCTACCAGGATGCTCTGTACTGCTCCAGGACGGCCTGACAGGCCGCCAGCCTCAGCATTTCCCGCCACAGAGTGCTCCCGAGTGGCGAATGGAACAAGGCCACGGCGAGCCCCGCGAGGAGACCCGGGGGGGAGCACGATGCCTCCTCGGGGGCCGGGCACGGTGGTGGGGCAGGAGGGGCTGGGGAAGGCAGCGGGGGGCCAAAGGTCGTATGGCCCGGTGGGGGGACCCTGCGGGTGGCACTCAGGGAGACACGCATGCCCGGGGGAGCAGGGGCCTGGTACCGGGGGGCCCCGCCGTACTCACCGCCCGCCGGACCCGCCGCCGCCGTTACCATGGGGAGCCGGCAGGCCCACGTGACTACACCTCCCGGCAGCCCCCGCGCCGCAGGCTGCATCGCCCCCTGGCGGCGCGGCGGAGCGAGCCACGGGAGCCGCCGGGAAACGGGCGCTTCTTTAAGGAACGGGCGTTTTTTTTTTTCCAAGACCGGCTTCCCCCGGGGGGCGCCCCCGGTAAAGCTGACCGGGCAGGGTCCCCCTCGGGCGGACAACGCGGGTTCCACGGAAGGTCGGGCTGGGGCCCGAGGAGGACGAGGGAAGCGCCGGTGCCGTGCCGGGATGCCCGGGCGTCACCGCTCGGTGCCGGTGCCGGGCGGCAGCCGGCGGGGACACGCGGGATCGGGCACGGCTGCGAGCTGGCGAAGGAGCTCCTCGCAATGCCGGGCATGAGGCGGCCGGGGGCTGCCGCCAGCCAGCGCGGCCAGCCTATCGGGGGCTCCGAGGGACAGCAGCACCTGCGGAGCCAGGAGAAGAACAGGAGTCACCCACCAGCACGGCTCCTTGTCCCCACAGCACCAGGAGTCCCCCGTCCAGTACCTGTTGGATCCCGGGGTGCTCGCTGAGGACCCGCAGCGCCACGAGGGCTCCCTCCCGCACGCTCTCCCAGGGGTCCTGGCAGGCCACCTGCAGCAGGAAGTGGGGGGCCCTGCTCTGGATCAGCAGGTCGCCCAGCTCTGCCCCGCGCTGGCCTAGGTTGCTCAGGGCCAGGGCCGCGTTGCAGCGCGTCTTCGCCTGCAGGTCGCTGAGCAGCCGGGCCAGCGCCGGCACGGCCTTGCGCAGGGTCCCGGCCGGGCAGGACGCGTGGCCGGCGGCGTTGCCCACAGCAAAGCTGGCTGCCTTGCGCACGCTGCCCTCGGCGTCCGACAGGCACCCCAGCAGGCTCTCCAGCCAGCCGGGATGGCTCTGCAGCGCCGCAGGAAAGCCGTGTCGGAGCAGGTTGCCCAGCAGATTGCAGGTTTTGGCCCGTATCAGGTATTGCTGGTGGCCGAGCAGGTAGGTCAGTGGCTGGTCAGCCACATCCAAGCCCCTCAGGATCCTCTGGAGAAAGGGCAGATGCTCCGAACAGGCCCGGGCCACGTGGGTCAAGAGAGACAGGAGGTCAGTTGTGAGTGTGAGGTTGTCTGAGAACAAGGCAGATTTGAAAAAGGCAATGACATGCTCCGAGGTGGCAGCTTCCCTCACCACTTGGTCTATGACCTGAGTGTCAGACACAACGAGGTGGCACAAGAGGCTCATAGGGAGCTCCGTGAATGAGAAGGGCAGATGGCGAGAGCAGACCTAAGGAGAAAGGAAAGACAGCAGTGCTGAGTGCGCTGCACTTGTGTGAGCTGAGCCAAGCCAAGCAACAGCTGAAGGTGGCCAGCAGGTCAGTGCAGGCCAGCCTGTTCTGAGGGTTGCATGGCACCCAAGTGACATCCCTGTGTGGGCAGAAACTGACACCATGGTGTGAAGTGGTGCCACACATTGGGGGCTGCAACGTGGGGAGGTGTCTCCACAGTATGGGGGAGAAGAAAAACACAGTGCCAAGAAGATACCTGCAGCAGCTGGGCAGGGATCTGGGTGTCTCTCATAGCCTCCATGATCAGTGCTAAGGTGTCTCTATCCACATCCAGGGCAAAAGGGAAACAGAGGAGCTGGCAGGCCTGGATGACCACAGCTGGGACAACCTCAGGGTCCCCATCCTCTCCTGCTTGCCTGAATTTGTTAGAGAGAGAGAGAGGGTTTAATACAGAGGTAATCAGAAAAACAACAGGGCAAGAGGCGGAGGGCATTCCCCACACCAGGCACTAAGGAGAGGCTCTGCAAGTGCCAGGTCAGGAACTTCTCTGCCCTTGGCTTGCTTATGTCCAAGCCCCATTCAGTAGGTGAGCTCTGCCCACTTCAGCCCTTGCCACAACTCACGTCTGTGCCAGGCATTCCAGGAAGCTGGGGGACAGCAGTCTCTTTAGGGTCACCATGAGGACACCACGGGACTGGGTGAGCTGAGGCAGGCACTGGTGCGACTCACGAGTGAAGATGCAGAGGGCCAGGCTGAGGAAGAGCAGGGTGCCTGCAGGGAGAACAACAGGCAGAGATGCAAAGCTAGGGAAGGCTGAAAAGTCTCCTCTCTTGTGTCTATACTGCCTCAAGGCTGCTCCACAGTTACTTCTGTGCTTCCCTGCCCAAAACCAAAAAATCTCCACCTGAGTGGTCACATCTGCCAGGGTGAACGTTCCCTGCAGCACAGATACCCTTTTTGTTCCTCCACAGCCAGCTCAGCTGAGCTGCTGCCAACTGGGCACAGCATGGGCCAGCCAAGTCCTCTCTCCCCAGAGGACAATTTGCAATCCTCAAGAAAAGCCACCTGGGCCCTCTGGCCTCAGGGAACAGATGCGGACAGGGACAGACATGGGCAAGTCTGAGAGCAGGATGTGGAGCAGGGTCCAGGGCAGATGTCCTGCTGTCCTGCAGCTCCTACCTTGAGGGGAAAGGAGGTTCCAGTCTGGCTCTGCCATGGGGTGGCCTGCCCCTGGGGGCTCTCCCTCCAGCGCTGCCCTGTCACTGCCCACTTGAAGCACCACAGCAACACAATGCCAGACCAGGCTCCACAGCTCTGAGGAGGCAAAGCCCTGCTCCATGGCCACATCCTCCTAGAGTTAGAGGCAGATATCATGGTCCCTTATGGGCCCCCATATGGTTCCGGTCCATGGCTCTGCCAGCCCCTTGGTCCTGGGAAGGTCAGGGCTGGATGGCCATGGCCCAGGGGCCCTGCTGTACCTGCCAACAGTGTCAGTCCCAGGGCATCTCTGCCTTCTCTCTCCAGTGTGCCCATGGATCATCCCTCCCTGCCTACCACTCTCCCATCAACTCTTCAGGGACATTAGGTGACTTTCATGGGGTTACACAGCTCAGCCAAAGCTCCACAGTTCTCTGGCTTGCCTCAACCTCATTACCAATCCACATTCAGGTCTTTTTGACACCCCACCTTTTGGCAGGGACCAGGCAAAGGAAGATGGGCAGACTGGTACCTGAGCAAGGAGTTTCAGCAGGAGGAAAAAGAGCCCATCATAGAGACCAGCACCCATTGGCAGGGGGAGCTGCAGCTGTAAGAGAGTGGGGGACAAGCTGGATCTGGGTGCTGGATCTGAGGGCAGCAGCACCACACCTGCACCCTTCTGAGCCCATCTTTGCACACCTCCACAGTGGGGTGTGCATGGCTCCCCAGCTTCTTTGTCCCCATCCCATACCTTAGCAGGTGTTGTCAGCACATTTGTCACCACTGGTAGGACCTCTTCTCCCTTGAGCTCCAAGGCCACCCCATGCTGACTGAGTTGTGCCAGGAGGAATGCTGCAGCACCCTGTGGGACAGGGAGAGCTCAGCACCTTTGTGACTTTCCCATCTACTTGGTCAGTATTGACCCTTCATCCCACGGCCTCATCCCACCCTGAGTGAGGAATGGTGAGACCCAAATGGGATGTAGGGCTCTGCAGGGCTCTCAGTGGTGGCTCTGGTATGGGGGGCAGCTTACCACAAGGCAGACAACAGGAGATTGTGTGATGAGATCCACAGCCAAGGTAACCACCTCCTCAAGCCTGAAACACAGGGACCAGGAGAAAAGCGCTATGTTCCCACAGCTTCACACAGTGCAGAGCAGCAGCATTCAGACACCCCCAGGGCTTGGAAGCAGCCATCTTCGAGGAGGAGCCCTGGTTCACAGCACCTCTTTGTCCACACTGGGTCCTCTCACTGCATCCCCAACATCCACCCACACTGCCCAGCACTCTGCTGATGTGTCCGGATTGGAGGGATCAGTGGAAGCAGGATCCCAGCTCTGGGCAGAGTGAGAGACAGAGGGCTATTGAGGGCAGGGCATGTTCCTCTCCCACCCATGAATGAAAGCAGGTGCTTACCTGGGAGGGGAGGCCTGAAAGTGCAGAGTGAGCAGGGCTAGCAGGCACACAGAGGCCTCACAGGCTGCCTCCTGGGCCACCTCCACCAAGGGGACCTGCCAAGGGAGCAGGAGTCACAGTGGAACACCAAGGGTACAAGGGGAGGAGGGGATGATTCTGGGCCCTGGAGGAGAACTGCACTCTCCTAAACTCTTCTCCCCACACTACAGTGGTGCAAACTGTGCTCGGAGGAATGTGTCCTGCTTGCCCACACTCCTACCCCACCACCCCACCAGGCTGTGGTCAGTCCTACCTCACCCTTCAAGAGCTGCATGAGGAAACCCCACAGCCATTGGCTCCTTCCCAGGTGCTGGCACAGCCTTGGGTGGGCATGGCAGCCAGCATAGAGGATCTGTGAGGCAGAGGGGAGAAATGCATACCAACCCCTGGGGACAGGAACACAGTGACCAGGCCCACTCCAGTCATATCTCATGGCTACCATGGGCTCATTTATTCAACAACTGACATCAGGCAGATGGGAGTCATTAAGGCCTGAGCCCACAGTTCCCCCCTCCCCATACTCCTAATTCCAGAGCCAAAGTGTCTCTGGGCACAGCCAGATAAAAGGATGGGGCCATTACCTTCAGTACGTTCAAGGAGCAGCTTGAGTGCTCCAGTCTTCCCAGCAGTTTCCCAAGCTGCTGGCTCTCTCCTTCCATAAGCTTTTCAGCTACTGCCTGAGAGACCTGCAGAAATCAGCCTGTTTTGTATCCTGGGCACCTGAAGTACTGCTAGCAACAAATTAATGAAAGAAGGCATTTGCTTCCTATGTGTTGCTTGTGTTCACAAAAGGATCCCCACCTGCCATAACCCAGTATGGCTTTGATGCACAGTCCCAGAGCTAAGCAAGGTGAGATTCCTCCTCTGCTTCCCTCCTTGTTGACTCAGAGTTGAGGTAAAGAATCAAATATTAATTTGTAGTTGTTTTCCCTCTTATTGTCCATTCAATTTCAGATTTCCTACAGTTTATATCACTATCATATAAGAATTCTTCATGTTTTCTCTGTATTGCCTAGTTCTTTACTTAGGATCTGAACTGTGAGATGGGCTAAGTTTAAGTCTCTCAATTGATTTAAGAATCCTTAGATTCCTAAAGCTCAGCTGGGAGGACCAGCCTGCAAAAGCCAGCCCTGCAGCCATCAAAGGCACAGGATCCCAGCCCTCCACTCCACTTCGGAGAAAGAAATCCTCCTGGAAAGGGCTACTGCCCTGTGGGGACCACACCTCCTCACCCTGTACAGAGAGCTGGTCTGACCTGCTGCTTGGCTTCCCGACAGCTGTTCCTCTCCAGGGGGATACTGCAGGCAGCAGCCAGTGCAGCCATGAAGAGGTCTGCCACACGTGGGCTCTGGTCTGACTTGGCCTCCATCGCTGCACCTACGCAGGGGCAGAGCTTGGGAGTCATGTGCTGAGGGTGTTGAGAGGCAGCAGGATGAGGTTGGAGGGCAAGAGAGGAAAAGCTTATGACATGAGGAGGGTGAGATCTGAGATTAAGGGAGAGAAGAGCCCTGGTCAGTAGGAGTCTGGGCAGATAAGCTTCAGCCACCTTCTCTGGCCAACAGCACTGCAATGGCTGCCAGTGCTCTGATGGAGCCCAAGAGCAAGAGAGAGAGAAGGGAAACCTCAGGAAGAAGTGGTGAGCTGCTACCATGCTACCTTGCAGAGCAGGCTGCTCTGAGATGGATCTGTGAAGGAGTCTGTTCAGCAGTGGCTGATGCTCCTCTCGCAGGCTGGCGTAGAAGGGTGCAGAGATGGAGGGGTCTGTTGCATCCAGGCTCTCACAGAGCTGGGTGAAGCACTGGGGAAGACACAGGGGTTGCCACCACTGCAGAATGAATGTGGGAGGAGAGAGAGAAGGACAGCGCAGGAGGAGGCTGTGGCAGGACAGCAGAGATGGGAGAAGGACTCGTGCTGGAGCTTCAGGAACCTCCAACTGTCCTCTCCAGCCAGGTTACAGTATGGGACCCACATTTTGGCTGCATGCTGGCAAAGTGAGGGGTACACATGTGTCCCTCCACACCTGTCACAGCCTGGCAGAGCACACCCAACGCATTACCCAAGAGCAAGAGCTCTTTTTACTCTTGTTTCCTCTGGCTCTAAAACATACAGCCTGAAAAAAAAGACTAAAAGCAAGATGATACCAAATACAAGCCTGTACACATCTGCTGCCTGAGTCACATGTGAATCATAGTCCAACACTGTGCCCACCCAGCACAATCCCAGCAGCAGAGCTTTCAGTAGGAGAACAAGGGACACATCTGGTGAAGTGACACTGCCTGGCCACAAGGCCATTTGTGCCAGGGTGTGTATCAGGGACTGCACTTGCTGTTGGCTCAGTAAGTAAAGCTACCCCAGAATGGCAGAGCCAGGGAAGGTGCCCCCTCAGAGACCTCCTTTCTGTATGCAATCCCCCACAGTGGGTGAGACAGTGGGTAACACAGCCTGCCCTGACAAGAATGCATCAGACCCATAGTTAGGAGAAGGGTCCTCAGCCTGCATCCCCTCAACATTACAGAGACAGCCCCACACCTTCTGTCCCTACAGAAAAGGGTGGGGAGGAGGGAGATGGGGGCACCCTTACCAGGAGGCTTTGCTGGCAGAGTCTCATCTCACTGTCGACTGGCTCAGCCAGCAGCTCCGGCAGCAGGGCCAGGAAGCAGCCAGCACTCTCCTGGAAGGTCTGCAGGCTGGGGGAAGCAGCAGGGGCAGATGAGAGTGGAGAATCATGGCCCCTGGTTACGAGGACAGGATCTGGCCAGGCCCATGTGGCCCTGGCTAATGGGGCAGGCAGCACACACTCACACTGTGAGCTTCTGTTAGTGGGCAGCACAACTGGACTGTGTGTCCACTGACTGTGGACAGCACAGCTGCCTTCCCCTTAGTTAGTCCCACTGAAGGAAAGCGCTCCTCTGTGAGCACAGCAGTCTGGCATGAGGTGCTTAGTCCATGATGCTTCCCTCAGAGATGACTCCAGCTGCAGAGTATGAACACTACCCTCCTGCTTACTGCTGGGTCCCCAAAGTGGCCACAAGAGACCTCAGGGCACAGAAGGTTGTCCTTACCTGTCCTTTTGCCCACTCTCCTCCAGGCAGCGTTCACTGCTGAAATAAACTGTGGTCACCACGAGGAGGTCTGTCAGCACAGTGATACACCAGGGCTGCTGCAGGATCCAGAAAGAAACAGCAAATGGGGATTGTCTGCTGGCCATCCCCACACCACTGTGATAGGATCCTTCCCTGCCAGAACCTTTCCCTTCTCAAGGATGCTTGGAAGAGGCACCGGTCCTGTGAGCCAGCTCCAGCAGGACACCAGCGCCTCCTCAGCACCAGCACTCTGCAGGGCTGGAAGGAGCCTGAATTTCTCTGGGGTCCTATACCCACCTGCTTGGTGCAACCACTCTCCAGGATCTGCTTGGCTAAACACAGCAGGGACAGAGGCACATTCAGTTCTTGGCAGAAGTGGTCCAGCAGCTCAGAGTCACACTGGGTAGCCAGGAGGTTCCCCACAACACGAAGCACAGGACGGAGATAGGAGGCGCCCTCCAGCATCCCTTCCAGCACCTGGACATGGAGAAGCCAGAACAGCTCATAATTAGCAGCGGTTTTGGCCTCTCCATCAGCCATGGGGCAGCCCCTCAAGCATTCATGCAGGGGACAGCAGAGTCGCAGATGGCAAGCTAAGTGCATAAGACAGCTCCAACTCCTGGAGAAGCAGGGGATCTTTTTGCTTGCTGGACTAAGGACTCTCCAGATGTTCTGAACCCAATCCTGGGGAAGAAGGCAGCATCCATGTCACCAGTTACAGCTTCTGGGCCAGCTTACTGCCATCACTTACCTGCTGAGCAGAATCTGCCAGGCAGTCCTTGACACGGTGCTGAAAGGCTGGGTCCCTCAGGAGGCTCAGACGTGTGCTCAGCTGCATGGCCGAGGGCTCAGTGGCCTCAATCAGGTGCTGCCACTCCTCATCGCTCTCCAGCTCCTAGCCATAGAGGAGAGAGGACTGATGCCACAGACCCTGCCAGTCCCAGGGTCTCTGTACCAGCCCCTGGAGACTAGGTCCTGGTGTCCCCACCTCAAGACACTGTCTTACCTCACTCTCCAGGTCCACGGCCTCAATGCTGCGCCTGCCCCAGGGCTCTGCCCTGCCAGCATCAGGCTGCGAAGGGGTACCTGCTCCAGGAAACTCCCGCTCATAGTCTCGAGAGATGCTGTGCTGGCTGGCCAAGGAAACAACACAGTCAGTGAAAGACCTTTCTTCCCCCTTTTCCTCCTGCCCCAGCCTCAGCCCTCTCTCACCATGGGTCAGGAAGAGACTCCTCCAATTCCCACTCTGCCACACTGCTCTTTCCTTGCAGGAGACCAGAGTTATTCTCATTGGAGGCAGCCAGTGGCTCCCCCTCCTCAGGGGCTGCCTTGCCTGGACCTGCTCTGGGTCTATGCCTGGGGTGTCCATTGCCAGAGTCCTTCATAGATGCATCACCTGCCTTCAGTTGCCCCTGATGATGGCAGAGAAGTTTGGTCAGGGCAGTTAATCAGACAGATGAGTCTCCTAGACCCTACCACCCTGTGCACCCCACATCCCGCTTTGTGTGTCACTGACACCCCAGCCTGACCCATGTACTCATGTGTTTCCCCCAGGGCCCATTTCAGTGCTCCTCCTCTGCCCCGACTGTGGAACACAGCCAGGAGAACCCCCCAATTTCCTCCACCTTTTTCTGTGCCTCTTCAACCATCTTCCGCTGGGCCTTTCTCAGGATCCTGGACTGGCTGCTCCTGGGGACCAGGGAATGGGCTTGCTGTTCCTTCAGGGCCTGCAGTTCTGGGGACAGCTTTGTGGTAAAGGGGTTTGAGATCCCACGCTCTTCTGTGTCATCGATCACTGGGGAGGTGAGAGGAGAACTTCATAAGCAGCTAGGAGTCAGTGCTTGGAGAAAGCTGAGAGGAGGGAGGCAAAGACTAGGATAGTAAAAATAGCAGGGAAGGGCGGTCCCCTGAGTCTCCAGGCAGTAGTAGGAGGAAACGGACCTGTCCAGTGCTGCAAAAAGCAGGTACTCACCAGTAACCCGTCCAGCAATGAATGGGTGAGAGAGCAGCTCTGGCCATGACAGACGCTGGTGGGGGTCCTTCATTAGTAGTCCCTGAAGGAAGCTCTACAGGACAGCAGGATCACTGAGACATGTTCAGCATGCACCAGTGTGCACAGTGTACCCACCAGTCTCCCCCAGTGAGGGCACCCAGGAGGCCTGACTTCCCTGCCTGGCTCTGGGAAACGAGTAGCTCTAGTGCTTAGGGCAGACAGGAAGACATTTCCCTTCCCAGTTCAGTAAATCACTCCTTTGCTGTTGGCCCCAGTTTCCCAGCTTATGGACAGCAGTGATAAGGGTCCCCCTCCCAGGAGGCCCAGCTCTCATCCTTTGTCTATGTTCCAAAGTCCCTGTTAGGGGCATAAAAGCTAAGAGTGACTCACCAGGGCAGCAAGCAAGGCCAAAGCTGTATTAACAGAGCTCACCCTGCACACAGGGCCCCTGCCCTTACCTTGAACACCGGGCTCATGGCCGTGGGCCATTTGACAGGGTCCTTGACGATGAGGCTGACAAGCTGGAAGATGCTGTTGGTGTAGAAGGGAGGAGTGCCCACAAACAGCTCGTACAGGATGCAGCCCACAGACCAGAGATCTGCTGTGTGGTCATACGGCCGCTCCTCCACCAGCTCAAGGGACATATACAGTGGGGTGCCCTTGATGGAGGTCAGCACCATGGTATGGATGCTCATGGCACGGGCAAACCTGCTCAGAGCAAAGCACGGATGGCAAGTTCAGGCTGAAACATCCATTGCAGCTCCCAGGGAGTTCCCTATGAGTTTACCAACACTTCTTCCCCCCGGAGGACAAAATCCTCCCTCTCTGTTTAACCTCTAAATATCCACAGAATCTGGCCCCCTTCTGCACCTCTTGGCTGCCTTAAGGCCAAGTGTCCCCCTCAAGCTGGCCCCCAGCACTCACCCAAAGTCACAGAGCTTGACAACACCATCTTTGCCCAGAAGGATGTTCTGGGGTTTCATGTCTCGGTGCAGGATGCGGTGGGAGTGCAGGTAATAGAGAGCAGAGACCAGCTGAGCAGCGATGGTCTGGACCTGCCAGAGACACGGGAGCCTCACACTGTGTTCCACGGTGCCACCCGCTGGCACAACCATGTCCCTAACAGCCTGGCTCCCCCAGTACCCCTACTTCTGCTCTTGGCCTCCTGGGGCAGGGACCAACCCCAGCTGTGGGCCAGCAGTTCCTTGGAGTAGGCCAATGGCCAAGGCAGCAGTCTGGTGCTGTAGCCCTTGGAGAGGGAACAAGGAAACCAAGGTCCCTGCAGGACCCCGCTGTCCCATGGTACAACTCGGCTCCCTCTTCATCCTTTTCAGAAACTCTGCCAGGTAAAGCTCCGGAGGCACCCTCACCCTCCTGACACATCCCGGCTCACAGCAGAGACCCTCTGCCTGCAGGCAGACAAATCCTGTTCTCTTCAACCTGCAAACACTGCATGGCCACCACCATGACAGTCACCTGGTCCTCAGGCAAACTCCCATCGTCCTCCAGGATCTGGAAGAGCTCCCCCTCTGCATAGTCAGTCACCACCACCACCTGGAGGGAAGAGCAGCATGGTGAGATCAGGCCCTGGGGACCAGGACAGAGCAGAGTAGGAAGTCTGAGGGGGGTGCTGGGTTGTCATTGTGCACAGTCCATCAGCTTGGGTTGGGACCTGGGATGGAAGAGCTGCATGGCTGCACTGCAGCAAGGGCCTGGCACTTAGCAGAGGTCTTGTAACTTGTACAGCCAGCAAAAACAAGGGAAGAGGGAAGGATAGGACAAACCTAGAATAGTACTCCCAAACCCAATGAATGGAATCACTCCCTTGAGCTTGTTTTGAATCTGCTGCCCAATTACTTTATTTCATGCCCTCATGCCCCATTGCACAGTCTTCAGTTCTTTTATCCTATTACCTCCACGAGAGTATAAATCAGTGAAAAGCCAGTCTCTGAAAAGACTGATGAGATGACTGAAGAGTCATCCTCATCCTGTAATCTTAAACCACTCATCTTGCATTCCCCTAGTCATCTCCTTCTCCTCTGCATATAACCTAGTGCAGCCCACACAGCACATCCCAGAGGGCTCTGAAAAACACTAACCAGACCCTGGGATGGTGTCACCAGCAACTCCCGAGAAAAGATGTCCCTAGGACAGCAGGGGCCAGCCCTTGTTCCCCTGGTCCAGTCAAGCAAAAGCATTTGCCCAGAGTAGTCCCCTTCACCTCCTTATCAGTCTCAAAGCTGTCAAGCATCTGGATGATGTTGGGGTGATGGAGGCCTCTCATGATCTCAATTTCTCTTTGCAGGTTCTTCAGCTCCTTCTCAGACCGCCCCACCTTGGGGATGAACTTCAAGGCCACCACCTTTTCAAGTAGGAAAAGCTGGGATTAGATCAGGCTTCTGGTCAAGCCCACCCTGGCAAAGGCTGCTTTTAACTGTAATCAGACTCTGCACTTTCCAGCTGAGCACACTGAACAAGACATTTGTTGAATGGACCACTTGGAGCTGGGGCTCTCCTCAGGTCCTTGCACATAAGTACTGGTGTTCACACTGTTTTTCACACTGGCATTTAAGGCAAAGGTCAGTGAACACAGATAAAATCAGGACTTCCAGAAACATGGGACAGAACCTAGAGATGCTGGTGGACAGCAAGCCTACCACAAGCCAGCAGTGTGCTCTGACAGTGAGGGGCACTGGCAGCACCCTAGGCTAAAGAAGCTGCAGGGAAGCAATTACTGCCCTTTATTTGGAACCTTCTAGACCACGCTGGCAATATTGTGGCCAGGTTTTTGGCCCACAAAGACATCAGGAGCTGGTCAGGTATGTCAGCAGAAACCCGAATCAGTGCTGAGTCCCAAAGGCCTGGCACAGCCTTAGAACCAAAGAGGCACCAGAAATCAGCCCCCGGCACCACAGAGCAGATTTCCGCTCCTTTTCCCTCACCTGGGCGCTGTGTTTCCGGCGCCCCTTATACACGCGCCCGAAGGAGCCTTCGCCGATCATTTCCAGGACGTGGTACCGCTCCATCACTAGGGCCGGGGCCGCTGAGCTGCCGAGGCAAAGCGGATGGTGAGGAGCAGCGCTTCGCCCTCTCTCCCCCCGCCACGGGCTGCCATGGGGCACCGGCTGCAGCCGCGATGGAGCCGGGCAGTGCCAGCGCTCCGGGAAGGCAGCGCTGCACCCCTTGCGATCCCAGATCCCGAGGGACGGGGCTTTCCCACTCACCGCGGTGCTGCACCGGGGGCCGGGTCCCTTGGGCGGGTATCGCCCTCCCCACCCCCACGCCAGGCTCCGTCCCTGCCCACCGGCTCCAGGGCAGGACAAGCCCCGAGCCCCGGCCGATGCCCCCGCAGCAACCCTGGGGTTGGACGAGCCCTGCCGATGCCCCGCAGCAATCCCGCGGTGGGACGAGACGGGATGGCCCTCGCCCCGCTCCGCTCCTGCCCCACACCCGCCGCCGCCGCGCCGTCGCTTGGCAACGCGCTCCCCGCTTCCGCTTCCGGAGCGAGCGGGACGATGGCGGCGGCCGGGGAAGAGGCGGAGGCGGCGGACTGGTAACACCCCTCGCACCTTCCCCGGGCCCCCGCGATCCCGCACCCCCCGGCCAGTGGGGCCATCTGACCCCTGCCCCGTCGGTCCCTGCAGGGCGCTGCTGCCGGAGCTAGAGGTGCTGGAATCCATCTACCTGGAGGAGCTGCGGGTGGCGCGGGGCCGCGGCAGGTACGTCCCGCGTCCCACATACCCGGCCCGGCCCCGCGCCGCCCCGCTCACCCCGGCCTGCCCCTCCTCCAGGTGGGAGCCCTGGGAGATCAGCATCACCCTGCACCCCGCCACGGCCGAGGACCAGGACTCCCAGTACGTCCGCTTCACCCTGGTGCTCTCCGTGCCCCCGCAGGTAGGCTGCCCGCCCCCCTCGCCCCTGCTCCTCCCCGCCCAGGGCCTCTCCATCTTTCCTGTTGTGCTTTGGGCGTTTCTCTTTTTTTTCCTAGTATCCTAATGAAACTCCGGAGATCTCCATCAGGAACCCTCGGGGCCTGTCAGATGAGCAAATTCAAAAGTGAGTGCCAGGAGGGCAGGAAGAGGGCAATCCTTTCCTCCAGAGGTCCAGGAGGCAAAACTTATGGAAAACCCTTCACTAAATCACATGACATCCCATGTCTGGTTAGTGGATGGATACAGGTCCCTAAATCTCTTTGTCCTAAATCTCATGGGAGCCACTGCTACTGAATTTGACACCAAGGGGTCCACCCTGTAGTTGTTGCCCTGTGGTCCCCTTGAAATATAATCTGAATCCCTGGCGCCTTGGAAGCTGCTGGTCCTGCTCTGACAGAGGTGGGACTGATTCAAGCAGCCTGTTGTTGCCTTTGTGCTCTGGTCCTTGGTGCAGTGGAATGTGTTGCCAGCGGCTCCCACCACACCTGCTCAGGGACTGCCATCAGATAAACAAAGCCTGGGATTCACCAAAACTGAGCTCAAGCTGAGGCTGTCAGCAAACCTGCTCCTTCAAGTCCTGTCAAAGGCTTCCTGTGCACCAGCTTGTGGGGAGCCAGGACAGCACATGAATATGTGTGTGCACTTGTGCCCATCCTGTGCTCCAAGCAAAGCCTGAAGGCCAGTGCTCTGTTTGTTCCTCATGTCACCATGGCGGGATGGCAGGTATGTGGGACAGTGAAAAGGTGTAGCTAAATTTGTGTTAAGCATTTCTGCTGCTTTGCTGTAGGATTTCCCAGACCCTCAGAAGTGTTGCTGAAGCCAGGCTGGGGACAGAGGTGCTCTATGAACTCATTGAGGTGAGAGCTGGGGGAAGTTGGGGGTTACCAGCCACAGACACTGGTCCCTGGCTGCCCGAGGGGTCAGGAGAGCCCTGAGCACATGTGCAGGCCAGTGAGTAAAATGTTTGCTTTAATGCTTCCACAGAAGGGGAAGGAGATTCTCACTGACAACAACATTCCTCATGGACAGTGTGTGATCTGCCTTTATGGATTCCAGGTAGGCATGTGTCTCCTGGCCCTGCAAGCTGACTGGGAAGTGAGGCAAGAGAATGGGGAGCCTGGGGTTGGGATTATCAGCCTGGGGCCAGGGTGCACCCCAGCAGGCCCCTGCCCCCATTCTGTGGGTGATCCGCCTGCACGTGGGCCTTCGGAGGGCGATACACGCTACTCTCCCCATCAGCCTGAAATAATCATCTACAGAAATGGCACAGGGGCAGCAAGAGATGCCAGAGCATCTCCAAAGAAGTGGGTAGGGTCTGAGGATAGTTGCTGGTGTATCTCAGTTTCGCTGTATAGGTCATACCTCACCTGGAGTTCAGCACACAGGTGGTCAGGAGGGACTGGAACACATCCACGTGTGATGGATACTGAGGTCTGTGAGGGCCGGGGAGCTGATCTTGTGTGAGTTGCAAGGAAAGTCAATGCCTGCCTAGGAAGGAGAACACATCAGATGGGAAGATTGCTGCTTACACAGAAACACACACAGAGAAATCAGTCACGAAAACTTTGCATCATGACATTAGGAGTGTTTCTAACACTTGAAACAAGGAGCAGCATCCCAGTAATTGCTGAAGAAGTGGAGATGAAGCTGAGCAGATGTTAGGTGGCAGTAGTCAGCACTAGTTTCCCACTGCCACCACTGACATGGAAGTGAAAACCTACCTCAGCTGGGGAGGCTACACAACCTTGTGCTAAGAAACCCTTCAAAGCTGCCCTTCTTGACAGGAGAGAGAAGCCTTCACAAAGACCCAATGCTACCACTACTTCCACTCCCACTGTTTGGCCCGGTATGCCCAGCACATGGAGGAGGAGATCCTCATGCAGCAGGAGGAGAGAGATCAGCACCTTTCACCATCTCCCAAACAGGTACCAGGCCCTGGGCCCCCTCCCCTTGCCCCCTGTGCAGACCCTCATGACATCTGTATCACCCTCTTTGGGACATGGAATGAGGGCTAGTGTGACCCAGCAGCACGGTCAGTTTTGTACCTGTGCTGAGAATCAGAGCGGGGATTAGACCAAGTGATCTTCAAGGACCCTTTCCAACCAAAGATGTTGGTTTATTGGATCTCTGGGTCAGTGCATGCTGTGGGAGGGGGCAGGGGGTTGCATTTTTGGACTTCTGGAACCACAGGAGTTAGAAAAGAGAGCTCCTTTCCTAGTCCTTGAACTGCAGGGGTTTGCAGCAGGGTAAACACGATCACCCGCATTCTGGGATGATAAAATCTGCCTGAGCAGGTGCTGGAACAGTTTTCAGCTGCAGAGCAAACAGTGGAGCTGAGCATGAAACCAGTCAAACGCTCCTTCCTACAAACCCTTTCAAAGAGGTGCTGCATAGATGACATGCTGCACTTTGAAGCAGAGAAAAACAGATCCTAGGCTAAGGAGGACTGAAGCCATAGGTGCTGACAGGGGTGGTTTGTACAGCAGCCAGCTGCTGTAGCACAAGTCCCAGCGTGCCACCTTCCATAGCAGTCATTGAGACCCAGGCTGCTTTCATGTTGCTGGAACTCCCCTGGGCTTTCCTACCCTGGCAGAAGAGGGGCAGGGTTATCAGGCAGTGCATGACCTGAGTCGCAGACAGGGTTTGCTGTCACCTTTTGCCTCCCCGCAGGAAGTCGGTGTGCAGTGCCCTGTCTGCCGGGAGACGCTGGTCTATGATCTCTCTGCTCTGAAGGCAGCACCGCCCCCACAGCACCCTCTGGTAAGAGATGGGGGCTCACCTGCCCAGCTGTGCAGCTACCACTGGGTAGCTTCAACTGTGACACTGTAACGGACGAATGAATGTGCCCTCTCAGGTCCTCCCAGATGTCCTATCCAAAGGGTAGCTCACAGAGAGCAGATTCAGTTGTATAGCCCTGAGGTGAGCAGATGTGCTGGAGGAGAGGTGATTCTGCCATGGGGCATGTCCCTGCACTCATTGGGATATAATCAGGTCAGGAGAGTGACCTGATGGTAGCTGCTCTGCATCCCACCCCACAGCAGGACATCCCAAGGCAGTCACTGCAGAAACAGTGGGTTTGCACTGGGATGTTCTGCCTCTGTCCAGGGATTTCCCATGCATCTGTAGGCCTGGCAATGTGGCAAAGGGAAGCAGGTGCCTGGTACTGTGCAATCAAAGGAGGGTTTAGGGAGTAGCTCCTAGCCCTGCTACTGCCTATCCCTGCCAAGTGTTGAGAGAGCCCTTACCCTGCCTTGCTTTCTGCCACTCAGGAGCCATACAGGCCAGATGCCAAGATGCTGCAGCACCAGGAAGAACTGCGCCTAATTTTCAAGAGACAGCAAGAGAAAGGAGGTATCATCGACCCCGAAGCAGAGAGGAACCGCTATTTCATCAGCCTCCAGGCGGTATGGCACTGGGGGCAGAGAGCTGCCGAGGGCACCCTGGGCTGCAGGACCAAGCACTGTCGTCTGCTGTGGGACACCCCTGTCCTTTTCTTCACCAGTGGCCTCTTTCTTTCAGCCTCCAGCTGCTGCGGATCCAGGCCAAGCAGCTGCTGCCTCTGAGCTGCCGGTGAGTGCAAGCACTGCAGATGTGCCCCAGCCGCCCGGCCAAGCCTCGACTCCAGAGCCAGCTGGGGCATCGGAGGCCAGGGCAGAACCTGGGCGGCCTGAGAGGCCTGCTGTGCCCAGGGAGCAACCAAGCAAGAGGGAGAAGCACAGAGGGGAGAGGCCAGGCCCCAGAGGCCAGGGCAGGCAGCCATGCAGTGGCTTGCAAGAACCGGGAGAAGAAGCCTGTCATCCACTCCATGGCTCCAGGGGGCCCAGGGGCTTCAGCCAGAGACCAGAGCGGAGACCTGCTGGAAGGCACAATCAGGAGTTTCCAAAGTCTCACAGTAGAAGTAGGGCTGCTCCCTTGGCTGAAAGAAAGGATTTGTGCCCTGAAGATCCCTCAGCAGTAATGGAGGCTGTGGACTTGAAAGAGGAGCACTGTGATGTGGACAGATGGAGTGCAGAGAAGGGGGCTGAGACCCGGGGCAAGAAAAAGGAGAACCTGACATTCAACCACAGCGACTACAGAGCAGCTCCCAGCTGGCAGAGTCACCACAGGCCCTGGGATTGTGGGAGGTGGGAAAGGTCCAGAGTTCAGGAGCGTGGTTCCTACCCCAGAGCATCAAGAGGGCGAGGGGTGTTCAGGCCCAGTGGACATCAAGAAGCCCATCTTGAGAAAGAGAGTGGCTCCTAGCAGGAATGATGAGGGGCTGGGCTGGGGGGAAGGAAGGGCTATTTCTGGGGAGAACAGTGAAGGCTCTGGTAGAGCAGTAGCAAGAAGACACCATACCCCTTAAAAGGGAGGAGGCAGATGGCACATGGGACATACCTAGGCAGTGTCACCAGGGGATGAGCAGAGTGAAGCATCCCGGCGTGAGCAGCTGGCTCTCACCAACATTGGAGAAGCAGAATCTTGACAGATCATATCAGCCTTGATCTCAGAAGACCTAGGGGACAGGTAGCCTTAAATGGGGACCTCCAGCCATCATCTCTATATGTGAGCTGCCAAGAAACATGCACACCTACAGAGTGGACTGAGCATGGTGCCATGGCAGAGCCAGAGTTGGGGCAAGATCTTCCCTGGAAGCCAGTGTCCCAGTGGAGCCATGGTGGTGCCAAGTGATGGGGCTGTGCCAGGTCAGCAGCCTGGAGCACAGCTCAGCTTACTCTGTCCTCCTTTCCTTCTCGGAGCACTTTCTCAAGTGTTGTCCCTGTCCCTTGGAGACAACATGGTTTCTCCTGCAGCCCTGGCCGATGTTCAGCTGATGGGCTTGGCCAGGCATGTCATTTGTATGCAGGACACTTCCCAGTCCCAGCCAGGAGATCCAAGTTAAGCTTAAGTCAACACGTTGGCTGCAGCTTCAGCTTGTCTCCCACTTCCCCAGGAAGCCTGTCTCTCAAAGCACTTTGCTTTGTGATGTGTATCTGTTGGAATCCCCCTCTTAAGGCCAGGCTGTCTTGGCACTTCCAACAACCTGAAGACATGCCCCAATACTTTAGATACTGCTACCCTCCTTTCATCTTCAAGCTGATCTTATTTCAAAATGAGGATTTGCTGTTTAAACTAACTTGGTGCAGTTTCATCTGCTTCTCCTTCACAAATTTAAATGGTGTCTCACTCCAGAGCTGTGAAGGGCAATCCCAAGTCTCTGAAGTGAGACGCTATTAAATTAATTCATTGGGTCTTCTCCAGAGCCTGCTCCCTTTGTTTTCTCTGCCCACTTGCTCCTGTTCATTGCTATTTGGAGCAAAGGTGTTGATCCCTGGTATTTCTCACTCCCCTCCCTGCTCCCTACAACCAGAGCCAGGGCAGAGACCTTCCCCTGGCACTTCTGGGTGGCAAGAGGGCTCCCCGCTTTGCCTGGCTCAGTGTAAGCTCTTCGCCTCACCTGGACAGTACTGATTCCTTCACACTTGTTTGTGCCTTGTCCCCCACCTCACCTCTTTTTTGGCCACACATATGTTGTTTCTGTCTTCCTCCTGCTGAGTGCAAAAATAGCAGTGCCACAATGGACTTGCCAGAACTTCATGTGAGATCCCCAGGAAACCAAAGGCTGTGTGTACTCAGAAGGCATTTGGCAGCACACACATCTGCCTGACTGATCTTTGGCACATGAAGGGTGCACAAACCTCTCTCTGGGCTGGGTCCTCCTTACCTACTGCCCTGCTTACTCTGTGCCTGGCCTTGACCTGAAGGGGTTGGTTTAACCTGCTGCCCAAGAACCTTCTGTGCTTAAATTTCCAACACTGCCCTACTTTCAACCCTAATGCTCTAAAAGCATGACTTTCTCCCTCCTTGGTCTGAGCCCACACAACCCATCCTGGGCTTGGTGATCTGAGAGCCAGATGTTGTGCCCTGCTGAGGACAAGGGCTGAGCACTTGCTTCCTGAAGACAGCCCTAATTTTAATTCAGTGCTCTCTGTCCTCGTTCAGCTGGTTTCTGGGGGAACGGCCTGCCTGCACTTGGGTGAAAAGGTGTAAACTTTACCTGACATTGGTGCTTGTCTGCTGCCTCCTGCCTTTACTTGTGAAACTGCTGTACTCCGAGAAAGGCATGTGATTGTGTCCTGAAAGAAACACGGAAGATCTCTGCCCTTCACAGCAGCTGAAGCTCCTTGGCTTCCTCTGGTGAGCGAGGCTTACTCTCAACAGGAAAGCTGCTGTGCCATGTTTGGAGTAAGGGAATTCAGCCATGGAAACTGGAGTGAGGACTGGTTAACTTCAGTCAAATGCCAGATGTGTTAGAGGGAAGGGTTTTTTTCCTGGGAGTAGGGATTTAGGATGGGCCCTCTCTGACTCACTGCTGTCAGCCTGGAGCAGAGGGCATTTTTCAACAGTATGTGGAAATGAGTTTGGGCTAAACAAACAAAACCTCTAGGTCAGAGGGGAAGAATGGAGCCTGCACCCTGACCTGGGTCCCCTTGCTTGGTGTCCGCCTGTGTCACCCACCTACCTCACAAGGCTGTTGTGAGGCTTTAACTGGCAAAAGCCCCAGGCTGGGCAGAAAAGCACTGGCAGCGTGTGTAGCATTAACACTATTAAAAGCAAGCAGTGTGGTTTGATGTTGGCTCTTGTGTGGTGGCATCGGGCCCTTCAGGCTCCCCTTCACCACCCCACATCTTCCCCAGCAACTGTGAGACATTTGCCAGTCACTCACTGGCCAGTTTTGACCCCCAGCTTTGAGGGAAGAGGGCTGGATTTGGGCACCTAGCCTCTATAAGATGGCCAAACACAGGGTTTGAGATGCCAACAGCAGAATCCTGCTCCAGGAGCCACCCCTCCACCATACCCACAGGACTAACCTTTCACTTGCAGAAACATTTGTGTAAGTCTGAGTTTGCACCAAAGCAGCGCCTGTTTGCGCCAAAATCCATCCAGGTGCTATTGCTTGGGCCCCTTCGTATTTCCATGTGCTCTTGATTATGTCCTTGGCCCCAGAGGATAGAGCCAAGAGGAGGGCTGAGCAGTTTGAGTTTGGCCTGGAACCAGCTCCCACAGCCCCGTTTGGGTGATGGAGCCCCCAAAACTGAACACAGGACTGGCTCAGGGGAAACTGATTTACAAGATTCTGAAAAGGGGCTGGGATGGGACAGCTCTTGGGAAGATACTCTCTAACTGACCAAAGCCTCTCATCTGCCCTCACATACCTCCAGGGCCCCACATCTCTGGCAGGAGGGACAGTCATGCCCACCAAGCAATGATATCCAAGCAGATCTGCGGCTTGGCATCACAACTCATCAGGGCAGGAACAGTGGCACCAGCCTGGAGTCTAGGGACAACCAGCTGTCTCTTAGGAACTGCTTTTTTTCTGAAACACTCTGGATTTGCAGTACTGGCTGTGCCAGGCTCTGGTCAGGAGGGCTCTGAACCAGCAGCTGGATAAGTGGGGCAACTATCACGAAAAGGGACCAGAGAGACAAGAGCCATGTTGTGCATTTCACAGAGGATATTCACAAACCAGTGAGACCGTTGTCCTTTAAAAAACCAGCAGCTTTTAGCAGTGTAGCACCCCAATATCCTGCCCCAAGGAAACCCCCAGGCTGACCCACAAGGAAGAGGATTCACATCCAAGAGCGTTAGCAGCTTACAGAAATCCCAACATGAGGCACACACTGGTGAGCAGGGCTGGTGCAGTAGCACACAAATTTGGGGAGCAGCAAGAGCTGATTCCCTCTCCCTGCTGCAAGGCTGGCAGCTCTGACTCTCCAAAACAAGGCATTGGAGGGGTAAAGGTGAACAGAGACCTGGCCTGTGCATCTGGGCAGCTTCATGGCATCTCTGGGATGGTCACATCTTTGTCCCAGTCCTCTCAGTGTTGCTGGCCCCAGGTCACAGCAGGATAGAGCTTATGTTTGAAATGGCTCCTTCAGGGTCCATCTTGTAGAGCATGAAGTGGCCCTGCACCTGGGCAGCACTGATCTGTTTGGAGACGGCCAATGCCTGCTCTGCAAACCGCTCAGCTGCAGCCACGGGCTGCTCAGGATAGAAGCGCTGGAACATGCAGGAAAGCTGCCAGTGGGAGCAATGGCCCACGTACTGCTTGAGATCCACACGGCCAGGACGCACCAGGGCTGGATCCAGCCTGTCAAGAGACAGAGGGGGGCCTGGAAAACCTGATCAAAACGTCTCTGCAGGGTGGGTCCTGCAGGAACCCCCCGTCCACACTAGCACAGCCCGTGTCCTGTCTGCAAAGTGCTGTGAACTGTGAGATGGTAAAGGGAAGGAGCAGGTTCATCCCTGGGGAGACTGAGGGGAGAAATCAACCCAAAAGAAAAGAGAGAGCAAGGGAAGGGCTGGCTCTGGAGAAGGACAAACAAGTCCTGTGAAACAGTTCTGCCCATCTCTGTCCCATAAGCAACCTCTGAACAACCCCCTAGGACAGTTCGGTCTGGAGTGAGCCAAGCCTGCCATAGCGCAGTGGCTGAGCAGGTGCCGCGAGCCCAGGCTGCATCCCACCGACCCAGTGGGCTGCACATGGGGCCAGCGTTTCACTCACAGCATGGCCACAACCCCAAAACCTGCAGCTCCCATGGGCAGGAAGCTGGTACCACTCCTGAATGGAATAACCATATTCTGAACAGCAAGGAAGCATCTGAGGCTCCAGCAAAAGGAATCCTGGTTAGCAATCAAGGGATTTGCATCCGAAAGGAGGATTTGGGAAACCCGAAGCCCCATTCTTCCTCCTGGAGGATTCAAAGAGCCCTACATAAAGCCCAATAAAAGGGAGCAAGATTTTCCTGTGCCACCCACCCTATTCCTTCCCAGGGGGCAGCTCTGACCTGTCCACATAGTTGGTGGTCATGAAGACAATCCTGGCCTCTGTGGATGCCACGCCATCCAGCGCGTTGAGGAGGCCGCTGAAGGTCAAGCGCCCCATGCCTTGGTACGCAGCAGGGTCTGGGAACAGCGGAGTCTGAGATCACAGCCATCGGCCACTGACCCTGTGCAGGCTTGCAGGCCACCTTCCTATCACCTAACGCCAAGCTCCCCACTCCCTCCCTGCTCCAAGTCTGACCCTCTGCCTGGCTGGTAGCACATTCACCTCCCCTACCCACATGCACCCATGGAAATCCAAACAGAGAACAAGAAGGAAAACCACCTTCTCCCTCATACTGAAAATAGCTAGGCAGGAGAAGGATCTTTGCCCGAGGATAAAGGACCCAAATTTCTTGTATAGCCTAGGCTATGAAGGCTATATCTCTAAGGCCCTGAGGCCATAGAAATGCCCACTCCTGGTTTCTGCTGGTGTAGCAGAGCAGCCCAGAGTCCAAACCTTTCCCCAGTACAGCTGGCAAACCTCCCTCCAGCTGCTGGCCCAGAAATGGGGGCAGTGCTCACTCTCAGCGGCCAGGTCCCGGCTGATGAAGGCAGCGTCCACATCCTCCAGCAGGATAATGCTCTGCTGTGGTGCCACGCTCAGGAGGTGATTGAGCCGGTCGTCAGAGAGGCTGTGGTCACTAAGGCTCAGCAGGCAGATACTGTACTCCAGCTCCCCGGCCAGGGCTGTGCTGGGAAGGACACAAACCACAGGGGTGAATCACAGTGGGAAAGCACAGAGCCAGCAGCAGGGGAGAGGGCAGAAGTGTCCTTTCCCAGCAGGGATCAGATCTGAGGGGGGTACGGGAACACCTGCTCAGCTTGCTGTGCAGCACTGTGCAAAGCAAGGGCACAAAGGGCTCATAACCCTGACCTGTCACAGTGCCAGCAAAACACCAGGCACCACACATGAGGCACAGCCCACTCCTCTTTCCAAACCCAAGCTCATTCACACCTTCTCATCTGAGCCTGCTGTGCCCCAGAGCAGGCAGCTGGTGGGAAAACTGCCATTAGCCAGCTGGCAACACTCACATGAAGCTGCTTTTCCCACAGCCAGGAGGACCGTACAGCAGGTAACCTCTTCGGTAGGGGATTCCTAGGAAGACAGTGTTCTTTTAGGATAACCAGCTGGATTGCTCTGAGCTCCCTTCCCCCAGAGCCACAAGGCTTTGCTGATTGAGCACACATAATCACGCATAGAGGATACACCAAGGGAAGGCAAGCAGCAGGGAAAAATCTCTCCACAGCTGACTCCAGAAACAACCACAGGAATTCTGCCCCACCCCACATGGTACGGAGGACACCACACCAGAGCCTTGCCTCTGTCACTGTACCACTTGGAATTGCTGATGAACTCCTTCACGTCCTGAACCAGCCTCTCCGACACACCCTTCTCCAGCACCACGGAGCTGAGGGGCCGGCGGCGGCGGGGGAAGCCGAACTGCCGCCACTCTGCTCCCACGGCCGTGTACATGAGTGTCTTCCCCTCCTGCTTCTGCAGTGCCAGCTCCCGGGCTGAGGAGAGAGGCAGAAGGGACAGCTGCCAGGGAAGAGGATCTCCCGTGAAGCCCTGGGCATCTCCAGGGAGTAGGCTGTTCCCAGCAGGACCCCACGCAGTTCCCCTACAGACCTTCCTGGAGGATGTTGAAGAAGATCTCCCGGTCGGTGCCCAGCGCAGTGAAGGTGACAGACTCCCAGGGGGTCCCTGTGTTCAGGTCAATCACCTGCGTCTCCCGGCTGCGCTCAATGCGAATCCACTTCCTGCGATACCTGGGGTGGGAAGACAGGGTTGGGGTGCAGTGATCCAGCACCACCCAGTTGTGCCCAGCCTGGCTCATCAATCAAGAACATTTATCTCAGGTAAGGAAATCACTTCACACTGCTGAGTACAGGCTCCTCTTGCTACTTCCTGCCCTAACCCAGACCCAGGGAGGAGGCAGGATCCTCTCCAGTGCCTCTACAGGCCCCCCAAGCTGCCAAAGTGAGGCTCAATCCCCACACGGGTTTCCCCTGCGCCCTCTTACCAGATGAAATGATTCCCAATGCTGGGGACAAAGTCAAACTTGGTGCTGACACGCCCACTCTCATGCTGCAGGTATGATGTCTCCACACTGAGGTGCTGCGTGTGCTTGGCATGGTGGGACACCCAGTTCAGCAGCCACTGGTAGCTCTTGTCCTTGCTGGGCACCTCCAAGGTGATCATGTAGTGGCGCCTGAAAGCCACCAGCCCAAACTGGGCCCCTTTACGAGCCACTGCCAGGACCGTGCCCACCCCGACAAGGCCAAACCCAGCTCCGAAATATGGGTTGTCCTTCAGGGCTAGGACAAAGTCAGAAAAGGGCATTGTGGGAGGTTAAGCAGCTCCTTTCCACAGCATCGTTTCTGTGCTCCACAAACCAACCTGTGTGGAAAGACTGAGTGGCAGGAAAGAACACAACAGATTGCCTGCATTTCCCTGGCCTTTGTCGTGGCCAGTTCTTAAGGTGAAAGGCTGCCTGGCACATCTGGATCTCCCACATCTGTACTTATTACCAGGGGTTCAGAATGCTGCTGGCTGCAGGAGCTCCCTCCCTCTCTGCAGGCCACTGGGCCAGCCAGGCAGGAGGGGGCCAGGAGCTGGAGGCTCTCCAGCAAGCACGGGAGAATGTGTTGCTTCTTCAGCCAAGACAAGAAGCTCAGAGTTTTACAGGGTTTTATTCTTTAAACAACCAGAGATCGTGAGCACTGCAATTATTTAAGGTTTATTGTTCGAAAAAGCTGAAGCGCATCTCCAGGCCGAGCCGAGAGCCGGGTGGGAACGGGCACACGACTGCGGTGGAAGCAGCACCTCCATGTCTGGATAACACCCGCATGCTCAGGGGGCCTGAAGCTTCTCCAGCTCCCTCAGCAGGTCTGTCAGGTACAGGGGACGAGGGGGAGCCTCCCTCGGCAGACGCACAGACCCGCTCAGCTCCCTCACGCAGCATTCCAGCTCCCCCAGCACAAGGTCTGACCTTCCTCTTTCCCAGGCGTCCCGTGGGCAGGGTCCCTCAGGCCCGCGGCAGGAGCCCCACCGTCCCCTGCAGGAGACCCGGACCCTCACCGACCGTCCTTCGCAGCAGCGGCCTAGCCCGGCCGCTCCACACGGGAACCCCCCGCCACCCGCGGCCACGGTCCCGTCGCCGCCGCTCACCTGCGTTCCTTCTGCCCGCTGCCGCTTCCGCCCGCGCCGCTTCCGCCCGCACCATAGAGCAGGACCGGAGTGCCGGGCAGAGCGGCCGCGCGAGCGGCACAAAGGGCGGCGCTTCCGCCGCCCGGTGCCGTAACTGAGATGTGCCGGGGCTGGGGGCCCTGGGGCGGCGAGGACAGCCCGGGGTGAGGGACCGGGGGCAGCCCGGGGTGAAGGGATGGGGGGGACCGGGGACAGCCCGGGGTGAAGGGATGTGGGGAGACCGGCTGAGGACAACCCGGGGTGAGCGACTCGGGGCTGGTGGGGCCCGGCCGGGCGGGACTCGCAGGGGACACCTGCTCGTTGGAGACCGGACACAGCTCTGGGGGTGGTCTCGGGCTCGGGGCTGGGCCCAGCTGGACTCAGGGAGCGAGTCCTGGGTGTTAGGCTCAGGGAGAGGCCCCTAGGCATCTTTGGGGAGGGTACACCTGTCCTTGCACTACTGTCTGCCGCGGATTGCTCGATTTGTGGCCCACCAAAAGGAGGCACACCAAAAAGGAGCCAGCGTTGAGATCCCCAGTTCATGCCCTGCCTGGGGACTGGCACTGCGGGCTGCCCCCCAAAATCCCATCAGGCCTCCGGGTTGTTTCTGTTTTAAAGCTCTTTCTTCTGTTTCAGAGTGAGAGGCTGTCCTGGCCAGCACCAAGGCAGTGCCCGGGGGCACTGAGTGCAGCAGTGACTGTCTCTGAGGGTGCCAGCAGGGAGATGGAGGCCCTTTGCTCGGAGCTGCTCCTGCCCACACCAGGAGAGGCAAGAGCTGTGGGAAGCCCTGGTGCGGCCAGCACCGGTCTGGCTGGGACACCCCCGCTGACTGCCAGCCAGGACTTGCTGCTGGCAGAGGCATCAATGCCTGGGGAAGGGGCTCACGCTGAAGGAAGCAATGTAGAAATATTCATCGAGACAGTGGCTGGCAATGTAACGCTGAGCAATGCGGCCAGTACCACAGGTATGGGGTGCAAGGAGGGCAGCATGGGCCCAGTGACACTCAGCAGAGGGAGAGAGGTCTGGCCAAGGCCCCTGTCCCTTCCAGCCAGCACCTTAGGGACACCAGGTGCCCTCGTGTCTCTGACCTCATGTGCATCACCAGTCTGGTGCCACCATTGAGTGGTGCAGACCTGGCACAAGGTTGGGATTTGGATGGGGAGAGTGGTTGTGGGAATTGTGTGCTGAGTGAGGTGGTCAATCCAGGCTGTCAGTAGGGACCAGGTGGAGATCTCCTGGGAATGGGGCCAAGCCAGCCTCACATCTCTGCGTGCCTCAAAGGTGCAAAAGGACAGACCTGGTCATCGTGGTCACCAGGGTGGTGGTGTTCCCTTTCTTATGGGAGATATCCTGGGATATCCTGGGCAGGGGCTGGGCTGTGGTTCCCAAAATATAATTTGTGGCGACGGGGGTTTATCCTCCTTGTCCAGAGCTGGAACTGAACCACCAGTCCCACACTCTGGGCCTGGTGAAAGCCCTTTCTAATGCTCGCCCCTTGCTCTCTGCAGAGGTTCTGGTCAAAGTGGTGGAGCTGTACTTCTGCGAGAGGTGTGGCCAGAGCTTCCCAGAGGCCTCCCTGCTGTCCCAGCACCAGTGCCTGCTGCTGGCCCCTCCTGGGCACCTGGAACTCCCTGGGGCACTGCTGACTTCTGTCAGTGAGGACCAGAGCGAGCCAGGGGGCTCAGAGCTGCCTGGAGCTGGCACACAGGAAGGCTCTGCTCCCGAGCGCCTGCTGTGCCCCATCTGCCAGGAGGCGTTCACGCAGCCTGCCCAGCTCAAGGAGCACTTCAAGACCCACCGTGCCCCACCAGGAGCCCTGCCCTGCCCAGAGAGAGGCTGCCACTTCACCACGGAGGACCGCAAGCAACTGCGCAGTCACCTGCGCCACCTGCACGGGGCCTCGCCTGTGTCGTGCACCTGCCGGGCCTGCCCGCTGCTCTTCCCCAGCCGCCCAGCCATGGAGCAGCACCACCGGACACACTTCCCCTTCCACTGTGGCCACTGCGACTTTGTCACAGCCAATGCCAAGCTCTTCTGGCAGCACAAGAAGGGCCACACCACAGAGCCCCCGTCCAAGATGCCCGAAACAGGTGGCCCCTGCAGTTCAGACCCCCACAGCCTTGAGCAGTGCTGCATCCTACCATCAGGTATGGCTGGGTGCGGCGCTGGGGGCTGTGGCTGTTGCAGAGGCTGACTGTGTCCGTGCATCCCCGTTAAAACTGGGAGGAGTTGGGGGGCAAGGTTGGAGGGCTGGGAACCCTGCATTCCTTCCTCCCTGCACAGCACAGTTTGTGCCCCCATCTGAGCAAGGAGGTTTTCCTGTATGGGGGTGGTGGGGATGGAGTGGTCCCTCTTTCCTTCAGCGTGATGATCTCTGTCTTTCCCCACTGAAGCAGCAGCAGAAGAGCAGGAGGAGGCAGGAAATTACCACTCTGGCTGGGAAGCCAGCACAGCAGAAGCCAGGCCAGCAAACCCTGCGGGTACCGAGGACAACTCCTTGAAGGGGCAGAAAGCATCAGCTGGAGAAGAGGATTCAGACAGCGGTGGGGATGAATCGCAGGAGGAGGATGGCGAGAGCCCCTGTGAAGCCGAGGCCAAAGAGGATGGGAAGGCAGCTCCCGAGAAAGGCAGAATGCCACAGGCACACCACTTCAAAGGTGGAATGCAGGGCCCTACCAGGAGCTGCTCAGGCTTTGTGTTGTGAACAAGCAGCGCAGCTTTGGGGCTGGTGTGGAAGTGCGGGCCAGGCTCATGGGGCCTGAGGGTCCTGTGCCATCCAGTAACCCCACATCTCCTGCATGTACCAGTGCACTGTTCCCCTGACCTCTACCCAAGCAAATCTGTCCCTTCTTTTTCCTGTTCACACCCACTGTCAGGTTTAGGCAAAGGTCTGCCTGCATTTGGGGGTCAGGGGCACATGGGCAGGCCTGATATAGGCTGTGCTTTGCCAGCGTTGAGCTGAAAAGAGATCACCAGGAAGTGTGCTGGTGACTTGAGGTGGTGACACTCCCTCTAAGTAGGTGGCTGCTGTGCGACCACACGTGTATAAGCCCTCACCCTGGTACAGCTGGATCAGGGACAGAACATTTGTCTGTGCTCTCCATCTTTTTCCTACTGATTGCTCTCCCTCCTCTGCTCCTCCAGGAGATGTTGCAGAGGGCTCCGAGTACCTCTACAAAACCCACATGTGCCCTGAATGTAAGCGGTGCTTCAAGAAGCGGACGCACCTGGTGGAGCACCTCCACTTGCACTTCCCTGACCCCAGCCTGCAGTGCCCCAACTGCCACAAGTACTTCACCAGCAAGAGCAAACTGAAGATCCACATGATGCGGGAGACAGGCGAGAAGGCCCATCGCTGCCCGCTCTGCCACTACAGCTCGGTGGAGAAGAACGCCCTCAACCGCCACATGGCCAGTATGCACGAGGACATCTCCAACTTCTATTCTGATGTTTACTCCTGCCCTGTCTGCGAAGAGAAGTTTCGGCTCAGCCAGGCCCTCAAAGAGCACTTGAAGACTCACAAAGCCGAACCCAAGAGGCTGAGCTGCTTCCAGGGAGGCTGCGACTACTGTGTGGAGGACCGGAAGGAGTTTGTCCGTCACCTCAAGGATGCTCATGGCATCAAGGCAGTGGAGTGCAAATACCACGCCTGCTCACTGCTCTTTGGCACAGCTGAGGCCATGGAGGCTCACCGGAAAACCCACTACGCCTTCCACTGCCAGCAGTGTGACTTCATCTGCTCCAACAAGCACGTTTTCCGCAAGCATAAGAAGCAGGGGCACCCAGGCAGCGAGCAGCTCCAGTGCAGCTTCTGCCCCTACGCCACTTTCAACCCCGTGGAGTTTCATGACCACGTGGGCAAGATGCACGCCAACGAGAAGATCCACAAGTGTACCGAGTGTGCCTTCGCCACCGCGCACAAGCGGGTGCTCATCCGGCACATGCTGTTGCACACTGGTGGGTGTCCGCTGCAGGAGTCCCAAGAGCCAAGCTGAGATGGGGGTGGTGTCCTGTCCTGGGTCTGGGTAGGCAGGGAGGGCTGGGTCAGGGCTCCTGGGTCCCACCACTGGCTCTGCCACCCTAGTGTCACTTGACTGAAGTTGTGGCATGTTCCCACCCCTCCTGTCACCCCCAGCTCCTGCTGAGCTTGTTTCCCTGCCATGCTGCTTTATTTGGCTGTCATGCTGAAAGTATTCATGTGTTGCATATAGGAGAGAAACCTCACAAGTGTGAGCTCTGCGACTTCACCTGCCGGGATGTGAGCTACCTGTCCAAGCACATGCTGACCCACTCCAACGACAAGAACTTCATGTGCACCGAATGTGGGTACATCACCAAGTGGAAGCACTACCTGAACGTCCACATGCGCAAGCACACCGGAGATCTCCGGTAAGACCCCCTGCTCTACTGCCCTGTCAGCTTAGTCAGGGCTCCCCAAATCCTGCTCCTGTTACCATAAATCAGCAAATAAGAGACCCCGAAGACTCAATTTGTGAGCATTAGGAGTCAAGTATTCCTTTATTACCAGCGCTGGACACACAGGAGGATAGCTCCTCTTAAGTGTGTGTGTGCCCTGCTCTTGTTTAGCATAGCTAATATTTACTTACAGTTTTACATATTCATCAAGTGTCTTACATATTCACTACTTTTCTCAGAAAGTTCATGCATATGTTAATCAGCTCTAAGTTCTTCAGAAGTCCTCATTTGGTTACTAGGGGGTCTTCTGCTGGTCTCTGGTGGTTATTTGAAGCGTGAACTTCACTTGAACTTGTCCATTGAGCATGCACATTTATAGCTTGTAATAGAGCGCCTTTGTTCAGCATCTGTTATCAAAAATTAGATACTTATGTTACAACTACTCTAGCTGAAAGCATTCAGAAACTTGCTTATTTTGCAGCTACCCTGAGAGAAGCTTAGATTGTAAAGGCCCATGGAAAATTACTGAACAACGGAGAATACTGCTCTCACTCCAGGGGTCTGCTTCTCCAGGCTGCATTTTGTGCCAGACTCTCTCATGCCTGGTATAGCCTGCTCTGTCTGGAAC